GGTAGAGGAGGAGGGGGAGGTGGTAGAGGAGGAGGGGGAGGTGGTAGAGGAGGAGGGGGGGGAGGGCCGGGGCTGGCTACCCGACAGGCTGTTAGCCGGCGGTGGCGGTGGCGGTGGGGGAGGGGGAGGGGGAGGTGGCGGGGGAGGCGGAGGAGGAGGAGGCGGAGGCGGAGGCGGAGGCGGAGGTGGGGGTGGGGGCGGAGGTGGGGGCGGGGGTCGTGCCGCCACCGACAGGCGCCGCTCGCTGCTGGAGGCCAAGGGGGCACTCGGCGTGAGCGAGGAGGCGCCGCGCCGCTAGATACGGGGAGATACGGGGAGATATGGGGCTGGGAGTGCAAGAACAAACACCCTCTTTCGCGACACATGCTACCTGCGCTGATAGTGGTCCTAGCCGATCAGCCTGTCCGATCGTCTCAACGGCATATGGGGAGTGAAGGGGGGAGTTAAGGGGGGGCAAGGGGGGGGTAGGGGGAGATCTGGGGAGATCTGGGAGGCGCCGAGCCACTCGACGGCGTCTTCACAGAGGACGCCGCCGCGCGAGTGTGAATAGGACGCCGCGCCGGCGGCGGGCGCGCTGCTACGCGCCTTGCGCGCAGTCGGGCTCGGAGGCAAGTCTGGCGGAGGCCTCGCAAGGGCAAGTGCACCCACGGCGGCGGCGGCGGAGGAGGGGGAGGGGGAGGAGGAGGAGGAGGAGGAGGAGGAGGAGGAGGAGGATTACGCGGCTGAGCTGCGCAGGGCGTTGGATGACGCCGCCGCCAGGGACGAGGAGGCGCGATCTCGGGCGATCTCGGGCGATCTCGGCCGATCTCGGGTGATCTCGGGCGATCTCGGGTCACCTCTGGGTAGGAGGCGCGACGTGCCGCTCTGCGTGCGGAGCAGGCCTGACTTGCATTGCCACAGGAGGACTTCGACCCGAGATTCCCCGAGATCACACCCCAGGTCACCCGAGGCCACCCGAGGCTCTAGGCCAACTCCGCGGCCTACTCCATGGCCGCGCTGCAGCTGGAGTGGGAGGCGGACGCGGGGGCGCAGGCGGGCGCGGGAGGTTGGGGGCCTCGCCCTCGCGTACTCGGATGACGGGCGCGGGAGATGGGGGGCGGTCGTGGCACAAAGCAGAGAGTGGGAGTGTACGTCGTGGCTCATAATACGTGGTCCGAGGTGGGGTATGCTGTGCAGTCGGACCACGGGGGGAGCTGCAGGGAGTCGCTCTGCGCTCGAGCGTCTCCACGAGTCGCTCCTTTGCCGCCGCGTCGACTGCGTCACGCGGAGTCCTCGGCTCACGCGTCTCGGCTCTCGCGCCGGAGAGAGCGGAGCGCCATGAATTGTACGTTAGTGTGGCTACGTGAGCACGTCCGGAGCGGCCGCTTCCTAGGATATTTTACAGAGAAGGGGTCGGGGTGGTGTGTGCTGTGGGGAGAGAGCTGTCCTGAGCGACCCAACACAGCGTGCGGTGGCGAGCGTGAAGCCTTAAGCGCGGTGCTCGGCCCGGGGCCCGGGGCGTGCCCTATTTTAAGTAGAGGGTCCGCAGCGTCCTAATATCTAAAATCCGAGGATTAAGGATTCAGGCATCGCTTCAGTGAGGCCAAAGTGAGTTTATGGATGTGTGAGAACGGTACGGGACACGAGGAGTCGCGCGGACCGACTCGTCGGTGACTCTGCTGCACGCGCCGTACATAGTCCAAAATCGACCCAGCGCCAGCCCGAGGCCTGCGGGGAGAAGGCGAGGCTAAGGCTGGTACACGGCATGCGGACGGGACAGACCCGAGGTATAGAGCACGGGAGGCGATGGAGGGCCAGCCTAGAGGCAGAGGCGTGGCAGGACGGGTGGGACGAGGAGGGAGGAGGAGCGTGTGCCGATGGGGCTGAAGGTTGTTGGCATCCTGGATGTTGCAGGACAATAGCTAACACTAGGCACGTCCTATGCGCCGAGTGCGAGGCGGTGAAGGGAGAGAGGAGGGAGCACTACCGGGAGATGAGGAAAGGCGCGGCGGACGTGCTCAAGGCGCTACGATGGACGCCACCGAAGTCAAGGAGGCGGACACTCGCCCACACCGCAGAGTGCGAAGCCCAGGCGCTCGCTGTACGCGCCATTGCTGGGGCGACGAAGAGGTGCGCAGGAAGAAGGGAGAGCGACGAGGAATGGGAGGCGATGGAGCAACTGCTAGCTGGACGACTACCCGAGCCGAGTGTGATGGACCAGGACCCGCCAGAAGACATCATGACACACACACACACACACACCGCTCACCCACGCGCACTGGGCCTTGCACTTTGAATGCCGTGGGGCTCCTGTCGTCAGACGTGGAGATGCCCCCCCCTTGCCCCACCACCTCGTGTGTGTGGAGAAGTTTACCTTACCTTACCTTACCATAGTCATAGAATTTTTCTCAGCGTGAGCGAGACGTGGAAGAGTGCCACCGTCGGGTAGGACGGGTCGGCCCGGAGTATCAGAGTAGCCGTCGTGGTCGCGGCGAGCAGCGCCGGCCACTCCGGCGCCGCGTCGGCATCATGGGAGCATGTCCACCGCCACTTCGCGGTCACAGCGCTGTTTTGTCGCCCAAAACGCCGCATGTGGGTTCAGCGTCGCGCTCGAATCCGATGCCGCCGCCCCGCCCGCCGCCTCACCGACGTCCCGTGCGTAGGCCACCGCTGCCTCCACAGCCGTGTCGAAAGTGCCGCAGCCAATCGCCTTTCCGCCCACGAAACGCTGCAAACGGAAGCGCCGCCCATCGTGGTGCTTGAACACGCCCTTGTATCCGGTGCTGTTGCTGGAGAGGTGCAAGCGCAGGCCCTCCGCCTCCGCCACCACTGCCGTGGGCTCGCCGACCGCCCGCGCATAGGCCACCGCCGCCTCCACCTCCGTGTCGAAGGTGCCCAAGTAGACCTCCCTCCCGCCCACACTGTGTTGCGCCTGGAAACGGCCACAGGAGTGCTTGTGAACGCCCCTGTAGCCGGTGCGGTTGTTGTTGGACAAGTGCAGCCTAAGCCCCTCTGCCTCCGCCACCAGAGGCTCTGCCACTGTTGACTCCGATGCTGCTGCCGCCCTGGGCACTCGCCCTCCACCATCATCGCGGCAACCTCCGCCGCCTCCGTCGATCTCGCTAGCACCGCCGACATCGCCAGCCTCGCGCACGGCGAATGCTGCCAATGACGGAGCGGCACCCTCCTCCGTGGCGTTGCACGTAGGTGGGGGCTGCGTGCCGCCAGGCACAGCCGCGGCTGCTGCTGGCGCCGGCGCGTCAGCTGCTGTGGGTGCGAGCCCGCTCAGATCGAGCTTGCACCTCTTGGTATCCTGTGAGCGGAGACGGAACGTCCGACGTCGAAGGGATGGGGGTGGCACGGGAACCGAGCTGGCATTCGCGAGTTTCCTCGAGCGGTGGGAGCTTCTTGGAACTACTCTCGGAAGTCACCTCATTCCAGACGAGGACGCATGTGGTGCGGGGACAGCCGGCCTTTATCTTAAGCGGTACCACGCAGCCGCCGCAGGAGCACCTGCGGACGGACACGCCGTGGACATGTCTATAGACATGTCGCCGGCAGGCTCCTGGCTGATGCGACGCAGATGCGACGAGGCGAGCGCGGGGTGAATCCGGAGGCACGGCATCGCGCTGGTCCCGATGGCGGGAGGGGCGCGCGACGATCGACAGAGGGACTATCTGGGAGTGTTCACTCACGGCATCCAGATGCGCAGCGTGTACGGTTCCGCCGCCGGCAAGAGGCCGCTTATCCGTAGCTTGCGCAGTGCGGGCGCGTTCACGGGGTCCTCCTTGTCGAGGGCACGCGAGAGGCGGCCCGCGCGAACGAGGCTCTCCCACGAGAGGAGCTCCGACGACGCCATTCCGCGCGGCAGCAGATCTGCGGCTGCAAGGCGCGGCGTACAATAAGCCGTTTCCCTTACAGAGCTACGTCGCCCACGCATTAGACGAAATGCGGCGCATCCGATCCAGAGTTGTTTGTTCGCAAAAAAAACGCGCCCCCACGATCGATTTACAGCAGTCTTCGCCCGTCGTTCCGCTCGGCCGCCCTCCGCCCCCTCGCCACCTCCGCCGCCCCGCCGTGGCGCCCGAGGCGGTGCCGCTGGATCCAGTGGGCGTGGTGGGCGGCGTGGCGGGGCCTGCCGCTGCTCACGTTGAGCGCCGTCGATTCCGCCTCGTTCGTGCACCCGCCAAATGCCATCTCGTGCCACGGCGGCGCGCCTGCTCATAAGCGCGGGTGTGAACGGCGGCTGCCTCACCTCCGTCTCGCGCCGCGCTGGGCGCGCGTCTGGATCATCGCGTCGCAGGCAAGCTTGGGCGATCTCGGACAACCTCGGGCAATCTCGGGCAATCTCGGCTCATCTCGCGTTTCGAGCGCATCGCGTCGCAAGCGATGTACTCGCAGCCCGGCTCGCCGCGCCGCGCGTCGGCCTTGCAGGCATGGCGAGGTGGATCAACCATCTCTTGCACGCGCTGGTGCGGGCAACACCGAGGCGCTCTCGCTCGCATCATGGGCAGATATGGGGAGATATGGGGAGATATGCAACACCGAGGCGCTCTCGCTCGCATCCCCACACCCTACGAGGAACCCCCGTGGCGGCTCCCATCTCTCCCCATCTCTCCCCATCTCTCCCCACGTCTTCCCATATGCGGCCACAACTCCCAAACGCAAGGACCGGTGCGCGCTAGCGATCGGCGCCTTGCAGTACATGATCGGCACGCACCACTGCCGGCATCCATTCTCGAGCGGGTCGAACTGCGGGACGCACCTTGAAGAATAGAATCACAATCACAGTCACAGCAAGGGGAGAGTGGTGGAGCCAGCCGGACAAGCTGCGGCACGCACCTGATAATCACCACCATCACAAGTGAGAAGAAAGTGATGGGCCGCAGCCAGCGAGCCCGACTCCCGCACCGCTGGTCCGCCTCGTCTAGCCACCAGAGCAGGTCGCGCATCAGCCGCCTATTGATTATTAAACATTCATTATTGTTTGATAACCGACAATGAACCAGAGCAGGTCGCGCATCCGCCGCCCCTTCTTGTTGCCCTTGTTCCAGTTGCAGTGCACTGCATACGCGGCCTCCTTGGAGTATGCGGCGGGCGCCATGCTCCACCTAATTGATTGGTAAGGAAGCACTCCTCCATGCCAACATCAACAAACGGCGGGCGCCATCCTCCACATAGCTCTAGCTGCTTGAGAGTGCGCTCGAAGCAGCTTCCTCTCTCGCGCATGCGGCTGGCGCCGAGCTCCCGACCACTGGCGAGTTCATTGTAGTCTCGGCTCATCTCGGCGAATCAATCCGTGCACCACATCTTGCCGTTTGGGACCTAGAGAGCAGACCCGTGCGTCGAGAAAAAAGAAACCGAGCCGCGCGTGGCACCTCTTGCCGCTTGGGCTCCCACGAGTCGTTGAGCTTGTAGTAGAGAAGCTTGGTGCCGTTGACGGGCGGCGTGCGGTGCAGCGCACGCGCCAGCGAGTGCTGCTCCTGTTTATGCACGCAGCGATGCTGAGAAGTGAGTGCAAGCGAGTTGGGTTCATGTGCGAGCCACGGCGAGGTGCTGCTCTCCTCGAACGATCGATCCCCCCACCTGCTGACCAGGTCCTCGAGCCTACGCAGCAGAGCTCACGTGTACCATACCTCCACAGTATCGAACTCACCTGCTGACCAGGTCCTCGAGCCTACGCAGCAGCACGAGATCACGTGTACCATACCTCCACAGTATCGAACCCACCTGCTGACCAGGTCCTCGAGCCTACGCAGCAGAGCTCACGTGTACCATACCTCCACAGTATCGAACCCACCTGCTGACCAGGTCCTCGAGCCTACGCAGCACCACGAGCTCACGTGTACCATACCTCCACAGTATCGAACCCACCTGCTGACCAGGTCCTCGAGCCTACGCAGCAGAGCTCACGTGTACCATACCTCCACAGTATCGAACCCACCTGCAAACCAGGTCCTCGAGCCTACGCAGCAGAGATCTCGTGTACCATACCTCCACAGTATCGAACCCACCTGCTGACCAGGTCCTCGAGCCTACGCAGCAGAGATCACGTGTACCATACCTCCACAGTATCGAACCCACCTGCTGACCAGGTCCTCGAGCCTACGCGGCAGCACGAGCTCACGTGTACCATACCTCCACAGTATCGAACCCACCTGCTGACCAGGTCCTCGAGCCTACGCAGCAGAGCTCACGTGTACCATACCTCCACAGTATCGAACCCACCTGCTGACCAGGTCCTCGAGCCTACGCAGCAGCACGAGCTCACGTGTACCATACCTCCACAGTATCGAACCCACCTGCTGACCACGTCCTCGAGCCTACGCAGCAGCACGAGATCACGTGTACCATACCTCCACAGTATCGAACCCACCTGCTGACCAGGTCCTCGAGCCTACGCAGCAGCACGAGATCACGTGTACCATACCTCCACAGTATCGAACCCACCTGCTGACCAGGTCCTCGAGCCTACGCAGCAGCACGAGATCACGTGTACCATACCTCCACAGTATCGAACCCACCTGCTGACCAGGTCCTCGAGCCTACGCAGCAGAGCTCACGTGTACCATACCTCCACAGTATCGAACCCACCTGCTGACCAGGTCCTCGAGCCTACGCAGCAGAGCTCACGTGTACCATACCTCCACAGTATCGAACCCACCTGCTGACCAGGTCCTCGAGCCTACGCAGCAGAGATCACGTGTACCATACCTCCACAGTATCGAACCCACCTGCTGACCAGGTCCTCGAGCCTACGCAGCAGAGCTCACGTGTACCATACCTCCACAGTATCGAACCCACCTGCTGACCAGGTCCTCGAGCCTACGCAGCAGAGATCACGTGTACCATACCTCCACAGTATCGAACCCACCTGCTGACCAGGTCCTCGAGCCTACGCAGCAGAGCTCACGTGTACCATACCTCCACAGTATCGAACCCACCTGCAAACCAAGTCCTCGAGCCTACGCAGCAGCAGCTCCTCTGAGTCAGCGAGTCGGTGAGTTGACCCCTCCTCTCTTGCTGGCCGGGCCGCAGCGCCTATCGGCTCATCACTACTTGCTCATTCACCACTCAAAGAGCCAGCCTCCCCCCCGCTGGTCTGGCCGTCGTCACACCAGAACTCCATAAACGCGTCCGCCGCCCTCGTCGGCCGGGCGAAGTAGAAGCCGGCGTTGTACCTGTGGGGCGTGTCGTGGACGTGTCGTGGACATGTCCCGCCCGTCACCGGCAAGGTAGATGCCGTGCGTCGCACCTTAATCAGCAGCTGACCGCTAGTAAGTAACTATCAACCGGCGGGCGAAGTAGCAGCCGTACCCGTGGCCGCCTTCGGACTGGACGAGCTATGGGGAGATATGGGGAGATACGGGGAGATACGTACAGCGCACCCGTGGCCGCCTTCGGACTGGACGAGCACCTATTCACAGCTTCAGGTGTGAAGAGATGCTGTTCACAGGTACCCGTGGCCGCCTTCGGAATGGACGAGCACGTCGGCGGCGGCGAGGTGCGGGTGCGCGGCGAAGAGGGGGAAGGGGTCGCGCAGCCAGACGACGTCGAGGTCGCACTGCAGCACCTGTTGCACGGCTGCGGTGTGTGTGTGATCCGCGCCTCTTCACGGCTAAGCGAGCTCGCATCTGGAGGAGCGCCTGCGTGGCGGAAACCACGAGCGCTTGGTCAAGGCTGGTCGCAGTGTCAGTGAGGCTGGTGCCGCGAGCCGCAGCACCGAGTAGCCCCGCGAGAGGAGGTGTCTCATCCACATATCTCCCCATATCTCCCCACATCTCCCCATATCTCACCGAGTAGCCCCGCGAGAGGAGGTGTCTCATCCACATATCTCCCCATATCTCCCCACATCTCCCCATATCTCCCCACCGAGTAGCCCCGCGAGAGGAGGTGCCTCATCCCCATATCTCCCCATATCTCCCCATATCTCCCCACCGAGTAGCCCCGCGAGAGGAGGTGCCTCATCCACATCGGCCGCTGCATCACCATCCGGTTGAACTCGACCGTGCGGTAGCTCGCCACGCCTGGTGAATCAATTCTGACTCATCTAATCACCATCCGGATGATCTTGGCCGTGCGGTAGCTGGCCGCGCCTAGTGGTTCAATTCTAAGTATGGCTAATCACCAGCCGGATGATCTTGGCCGTGCGGTAGCTGGCTGCGCCTTGCGTCGTGAGCGGCCGGTGCGCATACGGGAAGACGCACGCGGAAGAGGTGTACGCGAGGCCGAACCCGCCGCGTATTGGCGCGCAGGTGGAGTTGTCGAGGGCGATCACCACCTGTGGAATAGGGACTGTAATATAATACAGCATGTACAACACGCGTGGAGCTGTCGAGGGCGATCACCTGTGGAATATGCACCAAGAGAGAGCTGGCAAGGCACCAGCACCAAGATGAAAGCTGGCAAGGCGCGAGAGAAGATTGCGTGTGGCAGTGCGAGGCCACACCCAGTTGGAGACGCGCACGCGGTCCATCGAGCAGAGCAGGTTCTTGAGGAAGGGGACGAAGCCCAAGTTCGAGAAGAGAGGTACGACAACGCCGTCCCGCGCTCGAGCCGCGACGAGCGGGTCGACGAGCGACGTCATCGTCTCGTCGAGAGTCACCTGCAGCGCGGCGGCCTCTGATCAGCTGGCCGCTGCGAGCGGCGCGCCCAGGATGGGAGGCGGTGGGCACTGCTGGCGCTGCAGAGCCACGGCAGGATGGCGGTGGCTGTAGACGGTGCTGGCGGGAGAGTGGCGGCGCGTCGTCACCATTGCTAGCGTCGCCGAGCGGTTCTTTAGCGCGTTGGTGGCAGCGAGGAGTAGTAAAAGTGGCGCCATCCGTGCGTCCGGCCAGCGGCGGGCGGTAGTGAGCGCAACACGTGCCGAGCGCGCGACCCAAGCGGCACACGCACGCTCTCGAGGTCTCGGCTGAAAAAGAAAAAAAGAAAAACTTGAAAGAAAATCTAGATATATTACTGAAGTCAAGCACTCGGCAACCGCCATAAAAAGAATTTTCACGGCAAGAATTTTCCAAAGGCGGTCGCACGACACGTGACGTATTAATTACAAAAAGAACCACAAGCTCCCTCGCACACGGGACTGGCGCGCACTGGCACTAACACAGGTACACCACGGGAGCCGCCTAAGCGACTCCCGCGAGGGCGGCGAGGCACTTAGCTCCGTGCACCCGCCCGCCCCCGCCACAGCGCACAGGCAAGCTCGAAAAAAGACAGGAGGGTGCGTTATGCTGACGCACAATAAAGGCCAGTGGAAGTCGAGTGTTGCACTCTCAACTTCTTAGTTTCCATTTAAGGTGCCCCCCTCGTGTTTCAATATCCCCCGCCTACTGCTCGGTCGCTCACCTATGGCTGTTGATTTGCACTCGTCAATCCTATTCCCACATCGACGGTCAAGTGCAGGCACCGACAAAGGTCCGCACTAGAGGTCCTTAGGCCGAGACTCGGACAGAGGTCCTCATGGAGGTCCTCAGCACGAGAGAGGCACTCACCTCTCTCTTGAAAGTGGCAAGAGGAGCAAAAAATTGTCGGCTCGCTGAGGCCGCGCTCCTGCAGACTGATCTTTATGGTGGTTTAAAGTTTGCGGCGAGAAGCCGCCGCCGAACGTCTCGTGGAGCAGCAGGTTGAAGTTGTTGCGCTTGACAAAGATCGCGTCGTGGTGCCCCTGTTCACGCGCGCGCGAGACGTGCAGACAGGGTTGCCAGGGCGCGCCATTCGCTCTCACCTGGCAACCCGGGGCCTGGTTTGCGAAAACTCTAAAACTCTCTCTCTCTCTCTATCAATCCGCCAGGGGAAAGGGAGAGTGCACTGCCACACCCACTGTCTGCGCTGGCTCATTCATGTGTAAGTTGTTTGGTATTGCTAAAAATCTCTCTCTGTAAGTTGTTAAATCAATTACCATTCCCAGGTTCGTGGTATGCGTGAATTTCCCCTAATTCTTTTTTCTGTACCTGTGTTAGTGCCAGTGCGCGCCAGTCCCGTGCCCAGTGTTGTGCGAGGGAGTTTTGTTGTAAAATTCTTTTCCCAGTGTAAAGAAAGAAAGAAAACAGACAACCCAAGGGAGGGATGGGAGGACGGCACGCCGCCACCACACAGGGATTTTAAGGAGAGGTGTGTGGTGCGCTATCCGTCGCCCACCCTAGGGAGTCTGCCTCTTCCTATCTCTCTTCGCAGTCTCTCGCCGATTCTCGCTGCAACCTTCATGCCACCTCGCGGCTGTCCCACTCTCGTCGTTCTCTCCCTTGTCACTTCCTCCTCTGTCGCGTCGTTCTCTTCTGCCTCATCCTGCGACGCCGCCGCCTGCCTGTCCCTTGTTCTCGCGTCTTTTCCCAGTGTTGTGCGAGAGAGTTTGGTTGTAAAATTCTTTTCCCACCCGCACCCCATAAATGGTCAAATGCGGCTGTACCTTACCTCTCGCTGCCGCGTCCTCTGACGGCCCACCCGACCATGCTCCGCCTTTCCGCCTGCATTATCGCCATCGCCGCGTGCGAGCTCGCCGCCGCCCGCGGCCTCGAGGAGTACGAGCCCTGCCTCGACAAGGCGGAGGGCGATTCTTGCACCCTCTGCTCGCCGTCGGACGACGACTGCATCGAGACGATGGTGGTCAAGGTGTGCGTGGAGGGCGAGTGCACCGGCGTGTCGACGCCGACTGACGACGAGGAGGAGGAGGAGGCTGCGGGCACTTGCGAGTGCGGCTGGACGAGCACCTATCCCTGCCCCGGCACGCCGAGGCGCTGGTGGCAGAGGTTCGCCGCTGACGACGGCTCCGCCTGCTTCAACTACTGCTGCCCCAAGCCCCCTCCGTCCGCGCCACCCGCACCTCCCGCGCCTCCGCCCACGCCGCCCTTCGTCTGCGAGACGGGCTGCGCGTGGACCGACCTCCACCCCTGCCCCGGCACGCCCAAGAAGTTCTGGCAGACCTATGCGACCGATGACGGCACAGACTGCTTCAACGCGTGCTGCCCCAAGTCGCCGCCATCGCCGCCTGCGCCTCCGCCGCCGCCAGCGCCTGCGCCGCCCCCTTCGATCGCCGTCTCCTTGCTGGCCCTTATCCAGGCCGTCTTCCGCGACCTTCCCGGCCTGCTCGAAGCGCTCGGTGAGAGCAAACGCCCTCCCACCTACTACCCACCGCAGCGCCCACCCCAACACCATCCTCCGCCGCCCACGACTCTCCGCCTTCAACCGACGGTCGAACTATCACAGCACCGCCACCCGACCTGCCGGCCTCTGCCTCTCAGGTGTGGGCAGCGCCGCCGAAGCGGTTGCCCTCGTCACGCAGAGCTGCTCCTGAGCGCCGCGCGGGGTGCTCTCTGTCGATAGGTGTATTACCTCTCTCCACTCCGAGTGTACGTACAGGCCCGCCACGGGCAGGCTTACGTGAGGTCCCGCCGCCGCGAGCCGGTGTAGAGTCGTGTAAGGTGTCGTCCTGCAGAGCGGTGTGCAGTCGAGTCCTGGGCAGCGGCATGGGGGCGACCGTGGGGTCGGAGCGCGCAGGCTGAAGGGCGCACACAAGCGAGCGCACAGCTGCTCCGCCGCAGACGCGAGAGAATATTGGAAGTAATGACACAACCTTAAAAACGAACCATCCCCTTCTCTTCACACACTCTACGGCCCTTGGCCCTGCACCCACGCTTCGATCTTCTTGGGCAGCAGCTGGTTCGACAGGTCCTCTCCGTGGCCGAGGCAGCCGGGGCCGCCCTGGCCCCAGGTAAGGACAGCGCCGTCAGCGGTGAGGGCGATACTATGGTCGTCTCCCGCTGACATAGCGACGACGCGCTGGCCAGTGAAGGCCTCGACCTTCTTCGGCAGCAGCTGGTTCTGCTCGTCGCCGTGGCCCAGCCGGCCGTCCTCACCATCGCCCCAGCTCCAAGCGGCGCCGTCAGCGGTGAGCGCGATGCTGTGGTTGTCTCCTGCCGACACCCCGACGACGCGCCGACCCGCAAAGGCCTCGACCTTCTTGGGCAGCAGCTGGTTCTGCTCGTCGCCGTGGCCCAGCTGGCCAGAGCTGCCGCTGCCCCAGCTCCAAAGGGCGCCGTCGGCGGTGATGGCGCAACTATGCGCCCCTCCAGCCGCGACGGCGACGACGCACTGGCCAGCCACGGCCTCGACCTTCTTCGGCAGCAGCTGGGTCTGCTCGTCCCCGTGGCCCAGCTTGCCAAAAACTCCAAAGCCCCAGCTCCAGACAGCGCCACCGGCGGTGAGAGCGAGGCTGTGCCCGCCTCCGGCCGAGAGAGCGACGACGCGCTGGCCAGCCAAGGCCTCGATCTTCTTCGGCAGCAGCTGGTCCTGCCGGTCGTCGCCGTGGCCCAACCTGCTAAACAATCCACTGCCCCAGCTCCAGAGGGCGCCACCGGCGGTGAGAGCGAGGCTGTGCCCGCCTCCAGCCGAGACAGCGACGATGCGTTGGCCAGCAAAGGCCTCGACCTTCTTGGGCAGCAGCTGGTTCTGCTCGTCGCCGTGGCCCAGCCGGCCAAAAGCTCCCACGCCCCAGCTCCAGACGGCGCCGTCGGAGGTGAGGGCAAGACTGTGAGCCGCTCCCGCCGAGACAGCGACGACGTGCTGACCAGCAAAGGCCTGGACCTGCTTCGGCAGCAGCTGGTCCTCCTCGTCGCCGTGGCCCAGCCTGCCGCGGCCCCCATAGCCCCAGCTCCACACGGCTCCGTCAGCGGTGATGGCGAGGCTGTGCCAATTCGCAGTTGAGCCGTATGACGAGAGCCGCCCGTCGCCGCCGATGAAGAGGCTGTGCCACTGGCCTGCCGCCGCCCACGCCAGCGGGTTGTGCTTGCACAGCAGCGCCGAAAAGCACAGCCACCGCAAGGCGCAGCTCTCGTCCTCTGGCTGCGCCGGCAGCTCGAAGCCGCGCTCTTGCGCCCATAAGCGGATGCCCTCCAGCGCAAGCGAGGCGTGGAAGAGCAGCGAGACGGCCGCGACGCGAGCGATGTCGGCGGGGTCGCAGCGAGAGAGGACGCGCACGAGGAGGTCCGTGGGGAGGTCGAGGAGGGGGCAGTGCGCGGCGGCGGCGGCGGCGAGGGCGAGGCGGCGCGAGCGGCGCTGTGGGGTGGACATCGCGAGAAAAAGAAATTTAAATTCTCCCTCGCACAACACTGGGAGAGAGAGAGAGAGAGAGAGAGAGAGAGAGAGATTCTTTTTTTTCGCCGAAACAGTGATGGCAGGTGTCTCTCTCGGAGCGCCTCCTTTGAGCCCGGCCGATGAAGGGTCCGATGGCACAAACGGGGTGTACGAGGCGATCGAGGATGAGCCAATTACCGGGGACAACACGAACAATGGGGTGGAGACAGGTCGTGGGGACCAGGCAACAAAATCAGCGCCTAAATACCAGTGGAGTTCAGCGAGGACTGCAGGAGAGGTGGAGTCAAAGGGGCGAGGAGGGTTGGCAAAGGAGATTCATCAATGGTTTATGGATGGAGAGATGGACATACAAAAAGGCTTTGAGCAGTGCAGCGGGCAGCGGGCAGCGGGCAGCGGGCAGCGGGCTGCGGGCTGCGGGCTGCGGGCTGCGGGCTGCGGGCTGCGGGCTGAGGGCAGTGAGGGGCGTGGGGCGTGGCGTGAGCGCGCGTGGAGGGATGAATTGACAGATGCAACAAACGGGGTTCGAACGAGGAGCCAGCTGGTGGTGGAGCGGTCAACCAACCCACTATGCCAGCCAGAGGCCTCTGCTGTTGGACGTAGACTTTCGGGCGTATATATCAGTAATAATCCGAGTGGAAGCTCAAGATGGGAGTGGAGAGGAGCGTCGCCCCCACCCTCACCCCCAGATGGTGGAGACGAGGCGGAGATGGTTGATGGGAAGGCAGGTCCTTCTCAATACAATGGTAGTGGCACCGGTGCGTCAGTGGTGGTGGATGGAGTCTACGACTGGGGTTGCATAAGCAGGTGGGCACGGTGGAGAGGGGACGGTCACCTTATGGAAAGGTGGAGTGCACAGATGAGTGAGGAGGATAGGAGGAAGGCTAGAGGGATCAGGTTCGAACAGGAATATGGGCAGTTCAAGGACAGTCCAGCGAAGTTCATGGGGGAGACTGGGACGTTACAGGGACGGTACAGACAAACGATATGGGGCAGGAATGTGGTAAAAACGGATGAACTGGTTGCTATTGCCAGATATGTCAGACGGAGGAAGGCGGAGGGCATGGAGTGCGCTGCGGCGACAAAGAGGCTTGAACTGTGACCAGTGTGTGCTGTCTACGCCTGATCCAGGCGTGAAATCTGCCGATGCGTGATCTGTGTGTGGGCCGCTCTGTGAGGGGTCCAGGCATTGTCCGACGGGTAGGGGGTCTGTGCCCGGGCGGTGTCCGGTGCGGAGTCTCTCTCTGATCCCGCCTGTGGTGTTGGGTGCGAGGTCGTGGAAGCTTCGATCCCAAGGGGGGGAGCTGATCCCACTCGGTAACCAACTCTCAGGGGCAGTAGGTGGGCGGGCTTCAAGCGCGCTCATCTCGAACGACAAGGCGTCGCTACGCGCGGTCTTCCGCGGGGGGAGCTTCGTCGACGGGTGCGGGAGCGCAGCGCAGACAGTGCTGCGGCGATGCCTCCGGCTGTTTGCGGCGGGCGGCTTGCTGCTCGCGGCGATGGCGAAAAACTCGTCTCGTGGCACACCAAGGGCTTATGCTCTGTCGAGACGTGAGGCGTATGCGCCCAGGAGGGGAGGGCGCATGCGTAACGACGCTGCTAGAGATGCCTTTCGGGGCCCAGAGATAAAACTTCTGATGCCATGCGTGACCTAGTAGTGTCCCCAGCTATGGGCGTGTCCACGTTGGAGCCAGGTGTGGTGTGGACGCGAGAATAGCTCCGCCGTTCATGGAGGCAACCGATGCGAGTCGACTGGTGTGTGTCGTCGTGGTTTCGTATCAAGAATTCTCTCTCTCACAACACTGGGCACGGGACTGGCGCGCACTGGCACTTGTTATTGAGAATTTTACAACAAAACTCCCTCGCACAACACTGGGCACGGGACTGGCGCGCACTGGCACTAACACAGGTACACCACGGGAGCCGCCTAAGCGACTCCTGCGAGGGTGGCGAGGCCCTTAGCTCCGTGCACCCGCCCACCCCCGCCACAGGCAAGCTCATTCACGACCTGCAAACAAAGAGACCTGCTCTGCGATGGCCGTGTGAAGTGAAGAACGACTGAGATGCGCTGCTTCTGCAGCCCCAGCCAGCTCTTGGTGGTCCAAGTCACCTCATCGAGGTACTGGGCCCGCGTCAGCTTATTCTGTAGCTAGAAAAAGAATGTGTGTGTCTCGCGCCTTGCGGGGGGGGGAGCGGAAAGGAGGAACCTCTTCCCAAGAGCACCACTCTTGGAGCGCCGCCACTACCACCCAGAGCGCTGCAAGCAGCGCCGGGCAATGACGGCTTACCGCCCACCCAGCCCCCCCTCGGCACACCCCGGCAGCCAATGTGTGACGGCTCGAACCCGCTAAGCCATCCCGCAAGCGGGATAGCCCGCCAGAATTTTACAAACAAACTCCCTCGCACAACACTGGGCACGGGACTGGCGCGCACTGGCACTAACACAGGTACACCACGGGAGCCGCCTAAGCGACTCCTGCGAGGGTGGCGAGGCCCTTAGCTCCGTGCACCCGCCCACCCCCGCCACAGGCAAGCTCATTCACGACCTGCTCTGCGATGGCCGTGTGAAGAACGACTGAGATGCGCTGCTTCTGCAGCCCCAGCCAGCTCTTGGTGGTCCAAGTCACCTCATCGAGGTACTCGGCCCGCGTAAGCTTATTATTGTAGCTAGAAAAAGAATTTTACAAACAAACTCCCTCGCACAACACTGGGCACGGGACTGGCGCGCACTGGCACTAACACAGGTACACCACTTGGTTGTCGCCGCGTTCGACCGCGTCGCTCGCGGAGCCGCCCGCTCCCCCTACGACGGCGGCCCACGCCTCGAGTCCAACGAGCCCTCGCTCTACGAGGGGAGCGACGAGGAGTTCTAGGAACGGCCGCCGAGCCCTTCCCGCAGCGCAACCCTGGTAGCGCAGCGGGCAGGGCGGCTCGCGCAGCGCGCGCAATCGCGCAAGCGGCGCGCGCGAGCGAGCGAGCGAGCACACACACATACACACACACAAACACACAAACACACAAACACACACACACACACACACACACACACACACACACACACACACACACACACACACACACACACACACACACACACACACACACACACACACACACACACACACACACACACACGCACGCACACACACACACACACACACACACACACACACACACACACACACACACACACACACACAACACACACACACTTCACACTCACACACACACACACACACACACACGCACGCACGCATGCACGCACGCACACACACGTCCCAACTCCCCATTAATTAGAAATCTCGAGGAGCCGTGCAGTGCCTAGAGTAGAGCCGTAGATAAGTCTGTGTGCTGTGTGGTGCACGCCCTCCGAGCAGGGCGGGGTCTGCCCGTCGGGTTGCTGCCCTAATCCCACCAGGGGTTGTCTGCTCTATTTATTTATTCGACAGCGAGGCGACCCTAGCCAGTCCACACCGACCCCGACCCCCCAGAACAACAGGCATAGGTCGCGAGGGCCTGCGGGGCGCCTGCCCCGACCTCTCCCCTCACTGCACCCGCTCCCCCTCCGCCCCGTCGGGCAGCTCGACGTGCGCCGCCGGGTCGTCGGCGACCGAGGCGGGCAGCACCCAGGGGCGGGTCTCGTTGAGCGTGGCATACCACGGCAGCACCGGCACGCCGCCGGCGGAGAAGAAGACCGTCCTCGGCCACGAGCCGCGGCCGTAGGACGAGGCGACGACCTGGAGGCCGGGCGGGACGGACGCGCGGAGGAGGATCGTCTGCCCGCCGTCTGTCGGGTAAGGTAAGGTAAGGTGAGGTAAGGTAAGGTAAGGTAAGGTAAGGTACTCTTCTCCACTCGCCGAGCTATCTCGCGTCTCCACGTCTAGACGACAGGAGCCCCGCGGCATTAAAAGTGCACGGCCCGGTGCGCGTGGGTGAGGTGTGTGTGTGGTGTGGTGTGGGTGGGTGGGTGGGTGGGTGGGGGGGCTGTCAGGCCTGCCAAGTCGGCGGTGGCGTTGAAGACAACCGCGGACCCGTTGGGCGCCTGCACGAGATCACTCGAGATTGGCCGAGATCGGAACGAGGTCATTGGCCGCCTCGCGCCTCTGCGTAGAGCCGCGGCCAGCCGCAGTCTTGCGGGTTGTGGAACGGAGGCATGCTCGCGACGGGGCACGCGTTGCGCGGCACGCTGCCTAGAAGAAGAAGAAGAAGAAGAAACGCTATCTCGGTCAAGAAGGAGCGGGGACAGAGGCGCGTTGCGCGGCACGCTGCCTGGATGGCCGAGGGTGGAGGACGCGGTGGCCCAAGGCGGCACCTCGGTCGTTGCCGGCAACGAGAGACGGACGGCCACCGTCGCAACGCCGCCGCCTCGCCCCGCCGCTCCGCCGCCGCCCGCCGCAGCGCCGCCGCCCGCCTCGCCCTCCGCCGTGCCGCCGCACCAGCCGGTGGGCGGCGGCGCGGCGGGGACATAGCACACGCCTTTGTGGGTCGGCCGTGGGCAGCTTGATAACTGTTAGCTGCTACGTATCTCGGCTACACATCTCTGTATCTCGGCTATATCTCGGTTTACAGAGGGGCTGATGGGCGACGCGTGTGTGCGGCTCAACAACGGTCGAACGAAGGCTGAGTGTCGGCGGGAGAGGGGGCGTGGCGCACGCCCGATATCTGTGTCTCTCGGCGAACTCGCGGCTACATCTCGGCTATCTCTCGGGGCCGTAGCACACACCCGGGTCTGGGGGTATAAACGTATCTCGGCTATATCTCGCGCTTGGGTCTGTGGGTATAAAGGTATCTCGGCTATCTCGGGGAGCGTAGCACACACCCGGGTCTGCGGGTGTGCCGCACTCGCAGCCGCACGGGCACGCCTACTCTTGTGGGCTGACTCTCCGTCACCTCTCCATCACCTCTCCATCGCAACGAACCACTCGCCACAAGGCCGGCACGCGCCTCGACGTCGCAGCGCTTGCCGCTGCATGCGTCGTCTCCGCCCCCGGACTCGCCCCAAGACGAGCCCCCACCAAGCGCCTATCATCGGTGATTAAATAGGTTCACAACTAATGAAGCCTCCGCCCACAAGCGACCCCTCCTCCGGCGCCGCCGCCGCCGGCAGTAGAGTCGGCAGCAGAGGCCGCCGGAGCAGGCGCTGCCCGGAGTAGAGGGGCGGCCTGTTCACAGCTGCGAGTGTGAAGAGACGCCGCTCGCGGTGCTGCGACGCTAGGCCGGCAGGGAGCGGAGGCCGGTGCTGCGCCTCAAACTGGCGGCGGCCATAGCGCATGTCGAGGGCGGCGGCCGCGAGCCGGCGCGCGGGCGTCTGCTTGTCTGGCGGGTGGATGCCTGTTCACACCGCGCAACCGTGAAGAGACGTCGTTCGCAGCGCTACCTCAGTCAAGCGGGCGGGCGGGCGAGGGGGTGCCGTTCCAGTCGCCTATTAGTTAGAGTTCACTGTGAATTGCAAAGAATCTTGAAAGGCGGGTGGGTGCTGGTCCGGCCGCCCGTGTCGATCGCAGTCGAGACGCCGACGTTCGGCAGCGAGAGAGCGGCCAGCTGCGCTTGGCGCAGGTCCGCAGACGGGTCCGGGCGAGACGCGCCTGAGCAACTAATGTGGGCCATAATTAAAAAGTAACGAATTGTTAGTCGGCAGGCCGGGCTGCGTGCGGCGCGCCTCCGTAGCGGTATCCCGCGATCTGCACGAACCCGAACCAGAGGGCGGGCGAGTGGAAGGCGGCGCGCCTGATGAAGTGATCTAAGTGGCATGATGAACGGTTGACCGCAGCCGGCGGGTGGAAGGCGGCGCGCCAGGCGCTGATCATCGCCGGGAAGGCGCACGAGTAGTAGCGGCCTTGCCTACGAATGAATCACTCCGCAAGTAGTCTGTCCAGGACCAGCCCCGATACTGGCGCACGGGCAGCAGCGTCCGCACCCGTTGTTAGACTCGCCTTGGTACCAGATCGCGCCGGAGAGGGCCATGGGGCCAACCTAGACAGAGCCCGAGCCAGGTAGACACATGTTGATTTGCGATCCCGAGGCGAGGGGCCATGCGGCCAACCGCAAACGGCGCGATCATCGCGTTGTAACGGTCGCCGCTCCAGCTGCCTATGTTTAAGGCTGGGCGGCAATGAGCAACTGCTTGAGTCGTCATCGCGTGGTACCGCTCCAGCTGCCTTGGTGGCACGCCTCGTTTGCCGCCTCCGGCATCCAGACCTGGATCTGCGTCCCTCCCCAGCTGGAGGAGATGAGCCCGACCGGCACCTGCGGGGAGATATGGGGAGATAGCTTGAGATATGGAGAGATGAGCCCGACCGGCGCCTGCGGGGAGAGGACTGCTGTAGCGGACGAGCCGAAGCCAGCCGAACATCGTCCGAGAGCGTCCGAGATCGCCCGAGATCGCCCGAGATCGTCCGAGACCACTCGAGACTGCCCGAGACCGCTTCTCTTGCACGAGATGTGCCGATCTCGCACCTTGAGCTCGTTGCTCAGCTCCTTACCAAACAGCCAGCAGACGGCCGAGAACTCCTGAATCATGGAAAGTTAATTAATTACCACTTGAGAACTAGTGATAAGCCAACGGACGGCCGGGAAGCTCCTTCCAGGCGAGGCCGCCGACCAGCGCGGAGGAGGCGGCCGTCCAGTTGTGGTAGAGGGAGCCTATTAAGCATTAATCGCATGCCGAATTATTAGCTTGAATGAACAGGCTGTCGGTCCGCGGTTAAGAGAACCGAGCGCGCGGAGCGGGGTCTTGCTAGTCGTGCCTTTGCCGACCGTGAAGAGGCGCACGCTTCGGTACGCCGGCGAGTCGGCGGCGGCGATCTCCGCGCTCGCGTTGTTCATGCCCGCCATCGAGCGAGGCGTGTACTCCATGTTGGACTGGCCGCTGCATAGGTAGACCTCGCCGAAGAGGACGTCGCGCAGCGCCGCACCGCCCTCGGAGCTGCGGAAGAGGAGCGTCTGCCCGCGGTCGGACGCCTCGGTCGGCGGAAGCGGCTGCCGCCAGACGCCGCTGTGGTCCGTCAGCGCGGAGAGGCTGTGGGCGCCGAAGGTCGTCTCCACGCGGATCCCGGGCGACGCAAAGCCCCAAACGATGGGGACCGCGGGCGCGCGCTGCAGCACCATCCCGTCCGAGAAGACGTTGGAGAGGTTCATGCTGACGCGGACTTCGGTTTGTGCTGGACTGGCGCCCCCGCCCCGGGCCGCCGGCGTCAAGCCGATCGTTACAGAAAGAAGAAAACTTACGCGCCTTCCTACCTACTTTTCTTTCTTTCTTTCTTTACCTAACATTCTCCCCTAACACAGGATGCGGCCCTACGGTATATCTTATATCTGTCAAAAAGAAGAAAACGCAGATTGGTGTTTGTGTGACGAGAAGTCCAAGAAGAATGAGAGCTCGGCTGCGCGCCCGTGCACTCTGTCAGCATTTTGTTTTTGAATTTATGCTGTTGTTGTGATGTTAACACGACCACTTTTGGTAATCCCTCTCACGCGACTGGTACCGCGGGCGCGCGCTGCAGCACCATCCGGGCGTGATCATCTCGTCGCAGGCAGGGCACTTCCTCGGCGAGACTGGTGGTGCGCCCCTCGCCGCGACGCCGGCCGCCGGAGGGGCCAACTTGCTCCGCGGCGCCTTGCGTTTGGGCGCTGCGGGCAGCGGCGACTCTGCCCGCGTCGGCCGGGGCGCCAACTCCTGCAACCTCGGCGATGTGCGTCGTACCACTCCCCGTCCCGGCTCGGGGGCTCCGCCCCCCCCGCCAGACGGCGATGGCGGTAGCGACGGTGGGTCCGGCGCACCCGAGGTGTGGTGATGCCACCGTCGCCTTAGCGCTATGGCGGCTGCGGCTATCGCCACCACCGCCCCGGCTGCAGCCCAAGTCCAGGCGCGGTGGGCGTGGCGCGCACCAATGGCAGCGGCGAGGGCGGAGACCGCGAGGCAGGCGGCGACGAGTCCGGTGGCGGCGAACGCGCTCATGGCCTCTCTCCTCGCCGGGCTCGCGTTCGCTACGAGGGGGGCCCTCACGCCTGACTCCACGTCATCGGTGTCCTCTCCGTGCGGGGCTGGCGGCGACGGCGGTGGCGGAGGCGGCGGCGGCGGCATGGACAACGCCCACCCTCGCTCGGGCATCTCCTGCCTGGGCGGCGGCGGCAGCGGCATCCACGTCCGCGGCGGCGGCGGTGGCTCCCACCCCGGGGGCGGCGAGAAGGCTGGCATCGGTGGCGGCAGTGGTCGGGGCGGCGGCGGCAGTTGCACCGACGGCTGCACTGGGGGCGGCGGCGGTGGGAGCGCGTTCAGGAACGCGCCAGCCACGGCCGTGGCGGGCGGCGGCGGCGGTCGCGCCGTCGGCTGTGCTGGGGGCGGCGGTGGCGTGAGCGCGCTGAGGAACGCGCCGGCTTCCGCAGTGGCGGTGCGCTGCCTGCGTCGGGGTGCGTGCTGCATGCGCCCGCCGGCCTCGTCGTACGCCACGTCACCGTCGTCGCTGCTCTCGTCGGAGCTCGGGAACGCGTCGAGGGAGGCGAACGGCGTGGCGTCGTGCTGCCCTTCGGGCGGCTCGGGCGCGCCTGCCATGAGGTCTCGCAAGAAGGCCCCGTCGTCTTGCGTGTTGCGCCGCCGGCGCCCCGCGTTTCGGCGACGCCCGCTGGCCTGCTGCTGCCCGTGTCGCGCCTGCGCCGCCTCCCGCTCCTCCATCTCGGCGATGGCCCACGGCTCCACCCCGCCGTCGAGCTCCGCGCCGTCCTCCGCCTCGGCGTGATCGCTGCTGGAGCCGGCCTCGCCGCCTGTGGGAGCGGCCGCGTGGTCCGGTGGGTTGCGGACGAGGATGACCGCTCCAGCCGCCCGTCGATAGGCCGATGGCGGCGGGTCATCGGCCCACCCGGCCCTGGCGCGTTCCGGGGGGGACACCCGTGTGGTGAGGTACTCGACGTGTTCGCCCCTCCTCATCACCTTTCCCGATAGCGGGCACGCAGCGAGAGCGGCGCGGAGTCGCTCGTCGGCGGCGCGCTTGGCTTCGGCGAGGGTTTCGGCGTAGGCGACACCCTCGGCCTCGGCGAGGGTTTCGGCGTAGGCGACACCCTCGGCCTCGGTCCCGGTGGGGCCGTCCCCGTCCTCGTCGGAGCGAAACTCCCTCCCGTGCTCTGGTCCCGTCGGCGGTGGGTAGGCGGGCGTCTGGGCGATGGGGTCGGGTGGCCCTACGGGGGCGGCGTCGCTCGGCACATGCGCGGACGCCGCGCCCGCTTGCTCGCTCGGCATCGCCTCGTCCTCGTGGTCCACGCTGCCCGGCGCCAGGCTCGCGTGCGCGCTCGAGCTGCCAGCGGTACTAGGGTCAGGGCGGGGCGACGGGCGTGGCCCACTGATGCGGACCACCTCCACATCCTCCCTCTTGTAGCGGCCGCCGGCAAACGTAGGTATCGTAGTGTGCAGCTGCTCCGGGTTTGCCGAATTCAGGAGTCTCCATGCAACATGCCATGAGCCGTCGACCGGCTCGACGGGGCCGCCGCACCAGTCCCCCAGGCAATATTGTACATTTTTCTTTTAAAGAACGGTACACGAAGATTAGTCAGTCCCGCTAATCATCGGTCAGCGCCATCAGCGCGGCCCCCACTGTGCACCTTGGCTCTCACCGGCCGCATCCACCCCCATGGAGGTCCCTCCCGAATCGCTTCAGCAGCTTCGCGTCGCCGTCGCCCGGTGCCAGCAGGAGCTCGACAGCTTCACCACAGAGGACACCGATCTCGCGCGCTCGTTAGTCGATGAGCTCCGCCGGCTCTTCTCCGGGCCGGCACTCGGCCTCAAGCGGCCAAAGCGGCCGCGCTCGAGCGAGCCGGTCGATCCGCTCTGGCTCTCCGACTCCGAGCCGCCTCCGCCTCCGCGCCTCCTCGACCTTCCCGCCGAGCTGGTCGTGCACGTCCTCAAGCGGCTCGCGACGGCCGACCTCGGGCGGATCGCGGGGACGTGCCGGTACCTACGCGGCGGCGCGGCGTACGGGCGGCGGGCAATGTCGCCCGTCGAGGCCGCCATCCGCGTCCGCTCCCACAAGAGCGGCGTCGTCGCCCCAACCAGCCTCCCCGAGGTTGACGGCGCCTGGGTGCAGCGGCTGCTGCGGCTCGAGAGGCTGGCCGTGGCGGCGCGGCGCGTGGCGGCGGCGGGGTCGTCGCATTCGCTCTTCGTGGGCGAGGAGGGGCAGCTCTTCTCCTGCGGCACCGAACTCTCTCCCGACGGCTCCCGCGTGCGCGGCCTCCTCGGCCACGGTGGCTTGGTCGGATCCGTCCCCATCGCCGCGGTGCCCGAGAGCCGCAGCGCGAGGACTAGCAGTTCGCGTGGCACCAGCCACTGAGAAGTCGACGATGGGTGGCGTGTAGGTGCCCGTGCCGGTGCGCGGGCTGGCGGGCGTGCGGGTAAGCGCCGTGGCCGCCGGCGCTTGCCACTCGCTCTGCCTGGTGGAGGGCGGCGCTCTCTTTTCGTGGGGCAGCGCGGCGGGCGGGCGGCACGGCCACGGCGGAGGCACTGACGTGGTGGAGCCGCGCCGCGTCGAGGCGCTGGCGCACGAGGTTGTGGCTGCCATGTCGGCGGCATTATTCTTATCGTTATTCTTATTAGTTATTATTGTGCGCAGGTTGTGGCTGCCATGTCGGCGGTATTATTCTTATTGGTGGTATCATTTATTGCTATTGTGCGCAGGTTGTGGTTGCCATGTCGGCGGGGAACCTGCACTCGCTGGCGGTTGCCCAGACGGGGGCCGTGTACTCGTGGGGCGGCGGGCTCTTCGGCGCACTCGGCCACGGCAGCGAGGCGGCGGAGGAGGCGCCGCGCCGCACCGAGAGCTTAGGTGTGAAGCGGTTGTTGTCGATTGTTCTTACTGGTCCATGCATTCTCGATTCAGTCGCCGCGGCGGATCGAGAGCCTGACTGGCTCCCCCGTCGCTTCGGTCGCTGTCTCGGACCGCCCTGGCCCTCCGCCCCTCCCCTTCCCGCCCTCTTCACGGCGGGCGGCTGCTGTGAACAGGTCGCCCTCTCGGACCACCATTCCCTCGCCCTCACCTCGGTCGGCCAAGTCTACTCGTGTGGGGCAGCTTCCACGAGCCTTCTACGAACCTTCTACGAACCTTCTAGGCCGGCCAAGTCTACTCGTGGGGCAACGGCGCCAGCGGCCGGCTCGGCCACGGCGATGAGGCGAGATCGAGCCGAGATCGAGCCGAGATCTAGCCGGCCACGTGAGTAGTACCATCACTCTGTGCATCTTCCCTCGCTCACTAGTGCAGCAGTAGTACAGCAGGAGTAATCACTCTAGTACCATCACTCTGTGCATCTTCCCTCGCTGACTAGTGCATGGCGTCTATCTCGGCTAGATCTCGGCTAGATCTCGGCTAGGTCTCTGGTACCATCACTCTGTGCACAGGCGACGCGGCTCGTACCGACGCCCGTGCGTGCGCTGCGCTGGCTGCGGATGGCTGCGGTCGCGGCCGGCGACTACCACTCGCTCGGTCTCGATGAGACAGGCGGCGGGCACTCGTGGGGCGCGGCGGGCAATTAACTCACCAATCAGTGTTGATTGATTGATTGGCTGACTGATTACAGGCGCCGTGCACTCGTGGGGCGCGGCGGGCACCGTCGGCAACTGCGTCAGCGGCGACCAGCTCGAGCCGCAGCTCGTCTCTAATAACGCAATAATAGAATCGAACAACATCGTACAAAGAATAGGCGACCAGCTCGAGCCGCAGCTCGTCGCTGCTCTGCGGGGCGTGCGCGCCGTCGGCATCTCGGCGCGCGACTAATTGATTCACTTAGTTTTGCAATAGTGACCCCCCCCCCCCCCCGCCCCAACCCCTCCCACTCCCCAGTTGTACTGTACTGTGAAGGAAAGACATGCATGCGCCGAGACACGCGTGCGCGGCTCGCCACAGGCGTGCTACTACCACTCCCTCGCCCTCGCCGACGGCGGAGAGGTGTACTCGTGGGGGTCGGGCTCATATCTCCCCATATCTCCCATATCTCCCCATATCTCCCCATATCTCCGCAGGTGTACTCGTGGGGGTCGGGCTCATATCTCCCCATATCTCCCCATATCTCCCCATGTCTCCGCAGGTGTACTCGTGGGGGTCGGGCTCGCACGGCAAGCTGGGCCACGGCGACAAGCTGCCGCAGGTCGGAGCCCCGCCGTTTGCACGCGCTGCAATCATTAGCCACTCACAAGAATGAATCACAATATCATCAGGTCGGAGCCCCGCCACCTGCACGCGCTGGTGCAATCATTAGCCAATCACAAGAATGAATCACACTCCTCAGGTGGAGCCCCGCCGCGTGCACGCGCTGCGCGGGGTGCGGGTGCGGTCGGTGGCGGCGGGGGTCGGGCACTCGCTCGCCACTGCGGACGACGGCGCCGCGTATGGGTGGGGCGACGGCTCGGACGCGACGCTTGGGCTGCAGCTGCGGCGGGACCAGCTGCTGCCGCTGCGCTACCCGCACTTGCGTGTGGCGCTGCAGTAGCGAGGAGGAGGGTGGGTGGTCGGAGGGTGGCGGGTCGGAGTGTGGGCGGGTGGGGAAGGGTGGAGGAGGGAAGGGTGGAGGGGGAGGAGGGGTGGAGAGGGGAAGGCGGGCAGGGCTGGTGGAGAGGGGTGGGTGGCATGGAGGCGGGCAGGCGGGGGGGGGGGGGGGGGGACGCCCAAGGAGGCGTTCTTCGAGCGGGGCATGGAGGTTGCGGGGGAGGAGGCGGCGGCCGCGAGAGGAAGAGAGGCGGCGAGGGCCGGGGGCACCGAATCGGGGCATGGGGGTGGGGTGGTCGTGGGGGAGGGGCCTTGGGCGCAGCACGCAGCACGAGCGCATCACGATCGCAGGCACAGGGGCATGAGTGTAGATGCCTGGAAGAAGGACAGGGCATGAGAGGCTCCCGCAGCTGCCGCATAGTCGGGCCGGGGCAGCCGCAGTACGCGCATGGCATGGATGAAGGCCACTGCGGCACCATGGGTGGTATATAGCTAATGGGTGGAGTGATGGTCTGCTAGTCTACGACGAGAGTGGGGTGCACGGCTCGCTGAGAGATAGAGCAGGTCAACGGCGCCTTGTACAGAGAGCGCGGGTCTGACACACTGCAGAGAGACCTTTGTTAGTTTCGATGTTTAATAGTACATGCGTTTACTCGAGTAATTCTCAGGCAAGAACACGTTGATCGTACTGGGTTGTGGAGAGCGAGCGCAGGTGAGCCAGGACCCAGGACGCAGGAGTCCCCTGCGATCACCCCCCCCATGGGTGCCCTTTCTAGTCATTCTAGTGAATGAATTGACTCGTCCCAGTGGATGTGTCCGATTTCCGACGTCCCTGTCAAAATGTGCGTGAGGTCCGATCCTTTTGTAATCGTCTAGAGACGCTGGATACATGAGCACGGAGCAGGCCGCTCCCGGCCCCACGCGCTGCGCCCACAGCCCGCGCGGCCGGCGCAGCCGCCCGGGAGCTCAGGCGCTACCGCTCCGCTTGCGCATGGTAGCGGCGGCAAGCGCCTGCCCGCTGGGGCTGAGTGCACCGGCCTCGGCGGCACCGGCGGATGGTGTCGCGGCTGGTGCCTCGGACGGCGACCCCTGGGCCGGGCTGGGCGGAGGGTGTTGGGCTCGGATGTCCGGACGGCAGGATGCGGTCACGGAGCATCTCTTCCACGAGGGTGGAATTGCCGCCAGATGGTTGAGGCCGAGGCAGCCGCCCGCGCCGTGGCGGAGCGGCCCCACGACCCGGGCCCAGGCACGCCGCCGCCACGCCACCGCCCTCGCCGCTGCCGCCGTCGAGGAGGCGCTCGAGCGCACGCCCAGCGAGGCGCACGTCGACGTCTACAACGCCACGCTTTTCGCCGTCCTCGGCGAGGACGCCACCCCCTTCGAGTGCGCGTCTGCCGAGCTTCTCGACGCGCGGCGCGCGAGCCTCCGCAACGCCGCCGGCGCCGTCGTCACCGCCGAGTGCCTCAAAGCGACGCAGCGCCTCCTCGATGTCTCCACGCCCATCGGCAAGTGCGTCTATCGCGTCCCCGCCAACAAGAAGGAGTTGCTCAACTCGCCGGAGCGCGAGCACTGGTTGGCTGCCGATGAGAAGGGGCTCGACTGCATCCTTCGTGGGCCCGGCAACTGCCTCGTGCCCGTCACCGTCCCCGCCGCCAAGGGCGTGCCAGTCCAGCGCTGCGTCACTGCGCGCAAGATCAAGGTGGACCAGGCGACCGGACGCCTTGACAAGCACGACCCCTACAAGTCTCGGCACAGCGCCGACGGAGGTTTCGCCAAGGTCCAGCGCGAGCGCGCCGGCTTACCCGCCAGCCAAGTCCCCGCCACCTCGACCGTCGTCGACGACATGACCACCAAGCTGTTCCTCGGCCACGCCGCCGCCATCGACGCCAATCTGACCAAGGGAGACGTCGGTAACGCCTACATCAAGGCCAAGCGCCAGGCCCCGTCGGCTACATGAGCATCCCGTCCACGCTGCCCATGACCGACGAGGACGGCACACAGCTCTGCATCGAGCTCTCGACGCCGCTCTGGGGTGAGGAAAGCGCCGGCTACGAGTGGGAATGCACCTTCAACGAGACCATCAAGAGCCTCGGTTGGATGCCGTGCCCGGGCGTCCCCGCCATGTTCTCCTACCACGGTGAGCACAGCGAGGCTCGCATGATCACCATCGTTGACGACTTCATGATCTCCGAGGTCAACGGCACCGCCGCCACCGAAGCCACCATCGCCGCGCTCAAGGCCGCGTTCGACGGCGAGGTCAAGGTCGATTACAGCCCCTTATCTCGTATTGTTTTATATGAGCGTCATCTTGTAGTGAACAGGCCGAGTTCGCGGTTTGAGCGCCCAGCGCAGACCGACCGACCGCAGGGGGGGTCCGGTCGGCGGCCGCGGAGGACCGCAGACCGGAGGGGGGGTCCGATCGGTCGGAGCGCAGACCGAGGTGGGGGTCGGTCGGGTTGGCTCGAGGGTCACACCGCACACGCTCGCCGCAGCTGTATATAAATTAGTATCTCGAAATACTAGAGACACCAAGCGACCTCTCCCCGTCTAATGCGCCGACTCCACGTAGTCCGAGTTGCTGAGCTCGAGACGCTCTACAGGATTGGGTCGGAACACGAGCTCGTCCATGTCCATGCTCTCGTCGTCGACGTCGTCCATGATTAGCTTCGCCGGCGACACACTGTACCCGTTGACGAGCCGCTTGAGCGCGGCCAGCACCTCCTTCTGCCGGCCGAGCGCCCACGGGCCCAGCATGCAGTAGAGAACTCCTCGAAGGTGAACTGCTCCTCCTCCGACTCCAAGAAGCGGTCCACGGAGAACCCCGTCGTGAGGTTGATCTGTAGCTGGATGAGTGTGTCGCCGCTGGCTGCGTGACTGGTTTTCAGAGTGAAAATCGGCGATTTCGAAGCGCCCGTGGCGCTCCGTGGCGGTTCGCGAGAAGGAGGGAGAGCGTTTGAGGTGGCTCACGGCAAGGACACCGACCGAGGGGGGGGTCGGTCGTCACACCTCCCGCCGCCGAGAGAGCGACCGACCGGAGGGGGGGTCCGGTCCACCTCGGGGGCAGACCACCGACCGGCGGGGGGGTCCCCACGAACTAGGGGGGGTCGGTACAAAGTGACGCTCATATTATCTGATCTTATCTCTCATTCGTACTTGTGCATGTAGATTTACGAAATCCGCCGGAAATGGCTTTGGCTGTGCGGCATGGCGCTCCTCTGGGGCGGGGTATCTCAGGGTAAGTACAGTAAGTAAGGGCAAGGCGCGCGGACCGGAGCATGCACAGTTTGCACACAGTGGCGCGTGCTGACAGCGAGCGGGTGCGATGCAGTTGGAGGAGCCAGGCGGGCCGGGGATGCGCGCACGTGGTCGTTGGGAGGCGCGATAAGGCCGCAGTCGGCACGAGGGCGCTCGGGCTCGGCGCGTGGCGGCGCAGCACGGGCACGAGCTGGGCGTGCGGGCTCTCGGCGCGGGGCGTGGGGCGGCGCAGCACGGGCACGAGGTGGGACGTGGATGGGCGTGCAGTCTGCACTTTGTTTGGTGATGCGTTCTGTGTTACTGCTCGTCGCCCAGCCCTCTTTGGCAGGTGCGAGTGGTCGGCGTAGTCGTAGCGGAAGCCGCTCTCGTGCGCGGGCTCGGGGCCGAGCGCCTCGACCCACTCATCGAAGACCGCGTGCGAGCCGGGGACGCAGAGGAAGCCCGCGTCCTCCGCCTGGTTGTCGCTAAGCGCGAGCGTGCCCTGCGCGTGCGGGCCCAGCGCGCGCGTGATGCAGTTGTTCTGCTTGAAGAGCGCCTCGTGCGAGCGGAAGTCCGCCGCGGCGAAGGCCGCGCGCACGCGGGCGCCCTCGTGCGCGTAATGCTGCCACGGGTTGATGTCGAGATGCACGTTGCGCCGCGTCCGCTCGCCCAGCCGGTAGAACGCCCAGCGGTCGTGGTTGCACAGCAGCGAGGGCGCCTCGCAGCCGAGCGCCGTCGCGAAGCCGGCGGCGACGCGCGGGTGGTGCCGATTCCTCACCAGCTGCTTGCGCCAGATTGCCGACGAGTCGCCAACGTTGGGAGTGCCGAACACCTTGCTCTTCCAGGCGGTCCACGTCGCCGTGTCGTCCGCGCGAAAGTCGGGGCAGATGCTCTGCACGTACGAGAGGATGTCCTGGCGAGAGGCCTCGGTCTCCGCCTCGTCTAGCACGCCCCGGAAGACGACGAAGCCAAACGTTCGATAGAAAGCCGCGGCGCCCTCGTCGTCCACGTCAAAGGACTGCGCGTAGCGCCAGTCGTCCTCATCGCGCGGCACCTCGAGGCGGGGCACGTCCGCCTCCACCCGCTGTGCAGAGGGTGACACCAGGAAGTCGCGGCCGGGCTTGGCGCCCTGGTTGGCGGGCTTGGTCTTCGGCATGTCTCACAATGCCGCTCTTTCGTCGGGCGAGGCGAGGACGCGTCCGAGACTCGACGAGTCGCATCCTGACGTATCACGTATGTGAGCACCTGTGTTTATCCTTCGAGTTGCAGTTTCCACTCGCACTGGCGGGGCAATTGCCGACTGGCGTCGTCTGTATTCCTATCGGCTTGTCCGCCTGGCCTGGCCGTCCGACCTGTCGGCCTGTCGACCTGTCGGCCTGCTAGGCTCGCCGCTGGCCGGCTGGCCTGGGTAGAGAGCATGCGCGCCCCAACGCAAGTTCGCGTGGCTCTTGCTGGGCTTGGTGCGATTGGCTTACCAGTTGCCGAGGTGCTCCTTGCAAATGGAATCCCGGGCTTAAGTCTGGCAGCGGTGAGCGCCAGCTCACCAGGCAGCAAGCGCGGCCCAGAAGCTGGCAGCCCTGGGCGACGCCAACGTACCATTTCTTCCTGTGGAGCAGCTCCACGAGCTTGCCGACGTCGTTGTGGAGGTCCTACCGCCCGACCAGTTCATGGCGGTGGCGGAGCCCACGCTCGGCGCTGGCAAGACCCTCGTTGCGCTCTCAGTCACGCAACTTCTGGCCCAACCCCAACTTCAGGACCTGGCGCGCGACCGTGGCGGCCGCCTCATCGTGCCGACCGGTGCATTGTGCGGGCTCGACGCGCTGAGGGCGGTGGCCGAGGGCGGCAACGTGCGCTCGGTGGTGATGGCGACGCGCAAACCACCGGCGTCAACGCGGTATGGGTGGACGCTAGACAGATGATGACGACACGCACGAGCGACACACAGACACAAACAGGCTCACAAGACACACAGCCAGCTGGCTGCCACACACCCTGAGTTGGCGTACACATAACTCAAGGCCACATCCTCCCTGTCGCCCCCCCCAGCACTCCAAGGTGCCACAAGAGAAACAAACAAAGGCACAACAAACAACAAGTCACACAGAACATGAAGCCAAACACACGATTGCACGCACCGCACCGCACCTCGCACCCGCGCCCGCCGCCCCCCCGACCCCCGCCCCGCCTAGGTGGGAAAGAGATGAGGAGATGGGACAGCGAAGGAGGAGCACGAGCACGTATGGGAGGGTTCAATGATGCGCCACGCTGCCCGGCGTTTCTCACTTTCCGGGACAGCCCCGCCCTTTCGAGGCAGGAAAGTGACGGCTACCCCGTACGCACCTGTCGCTCTACCCCGACGCCGACCGCCCATCCCCCCTCCCCTTCCCCAACCCCGAGGAGCCGATGACCGAGCTTTTGCCCCGGGGGCCCTGGAGACCCCCCCCCCCCCCCACACCACCACCACCACACACACACACGCCGCCGCCGCGCGAGCTCCGCGCGGCGGCACACCCAGCTCAAAAGAAAAAGAAAAAAGGGAATGAGGAGACCAGCGGGGGAGACTCCCCGCCTATGCAACACCCCAGAGAGGGGCTGCCATCGCCGAAGCTGTGCCTAAGCATAACTCCAAAACCCGCAGCGGCCCAGGGGGCCTTGGGGGCAGCCTGCCGGACCGCCGCTGCACGGGGCTAGGCACCAGAAGATGAGTGGAATTGATGAATTGGGCCGTTGTCCGTGCCTCCCCTCTATACGTCAGAGTGGGACCTACGCCGCGCCGGGTAAGGGGCGCGCCCGGTCCTCGACGGAGCCGCGCGCCCCAAACGACCCAGGCGGCGAGTAGTCGACCTCGAACCTCCGGCATGTAGTTGCCCATAGTTAGCGCCCGCCCGCCCCCCCCCCTCCGTCGCTTCGCAAAAGAAAAAACAAAATACGAACAAGCAAAAGAGAAAGCCAAGCCAAAAAACGATTGCGTAAACGGCGTCACAAAGCCCGCCGGTTTTGATCGACAATCGTGAGATTGACCGCCGTCGACATGGTCGACTTCAATGAGAGCGAGGGCGAGTCGGCTTTCTTGGTTGTGAGATCAACAAAGGGCGTCTGGTTCGACAACCCCCACGTGTTCCATCGGAGCCTCGCAAAGGTGCCAATCAGCTTTTGTTTCGCGGAGGGGGCCCAGGTTCAGACCGAGCTCGGGCCAACGGCTTCCGTCAAGGTCGGTGGCTACTTCGCTTCCAGTGCGGATTATGAGGAGTGGTATCAGCGCCGCCGCGCGAGCCTGACGCTGCCGCCTTCGCACGGAGCTGAGGTGCGCACGCGCACGCCAGGATCGGCATTGTCCCTGCGGTGTCCCCGTCTCCAAACATTACGTTTCTCCCTCACGCAGGCGTGCGGCGTCAACAACGACGTCGTTGTGAAGGAGGAGGCCGCCACCGAGGAGGCCGCCTCCGAGGAGGCCGCCGTCGCCGAGGTGTCCGCTTCCGAGGAGGCGCCCGTCGCCGAGGCGCCCGTCGCCGAGGAGGCCGTCGCCGAGGAGGCTGCCAAGGAGGTCGAGAAGCCGGCCAAGACCGTTTCCAACACGCCCGACCCAACGGTCTTGGCCGCAGCATTCTCTCCTGGCACTCCTCGCTCTCCCACCGGTAATAATCTCCCTTCCCGCGTGCCCCTATCGCGCTTGCAGGACACCACCTGCTACCCGGGCCTGCCCACGCCGATGGCGGCGGGGAAGAGCGGGCCCGCGTCGGCCCGCAGCGGCCCCGGACCGGGCTACGTGGACGGCGTCGAGGCTGCAGTCCGTCGGCTGGGCGAGAGCGTCAGCTACCAGCCTACGCCCGCCGACGGCAAGAAGTCGCCGTCGCCGGGAGTCCCCACCTCCGGCGGCATTGCGCCCGTGGCGCCCAAGCCCCTGAGCGCGGTCGCGGGCGCGGGGCTGGCTGAGGCCGCGGCCGCCGAGCGGCGCGAGTACTGGGAGGGCATTCGCAAGAAGGCGAAGGCCGCGCTCGATCTCATTGCCGAGCGACGGGAGAAGTGGGCGGACTTGCAGTCGCGGCGCTCGAGGAAGTGCCGGCGCAAGGCAAGGCGCTGGCGCAAGCCGAAGACTGGCAAGAGCCGCGGCCGCGGCCGCGGCCGCCGCCCGGACCGGCGCCGCGAGCCGCAGACCACGTCCGGCAAGGCGCCATTCGCCGCTGGCACGTGCGGCGCCGGCGCTGGCACATGCGGCGCCGTCGCTGGCACATGCGGCGCCGGCGGTCGCGCCGCCCTCAAGGCGGCGGCCAACTGCGTGCAGGGCGGCTACACGAAGGCCGAGGGCGCCTTCCGGTGGCTGCTCCTCGTGTGCATGCCCGCCTTCGGCCACTGCGCGTCCGCCGTGCCTAGCCCGACGGCGGTGGCCTCGGCCTTCTCGTTTACCGTCGCCTCGGCGTCCTCGGCCTTCTCATCCGGCGTCGCCTCGGCGGCGTCCTCGGCCTTCTCGCCCGCCGTCGCCTCGAATCCGTCCTCGCTCGTGAGCTGCTCGCCGCTTCTCATGCCCGCAATCGTGCTCATCCTCCTCGCCATCGCTTGCGGCGCCTCCTGGCCGACCGCGGCGAGCGGAAAGGGGGCTCGCGGCGCGGCGTGGGCCACCTGCCTCGCCGCCGCCACGGCGCGCCTCACCGGCACGGCGGCGGCGCCTGCCGGCTTCTTCGCGAGCGCCTTCTCGTGGCTCGCGGCGGGTCCGCCGCAGGTCGCCGCCGCGGCCCCCGCCCTGGCCGTCGTCGGCACGGTGATGTGGCGCCGCAACTCAAAGGCCCGCCGCCTCGGCTGGTCCAGCCTGCTCGGCATTCTTCTCTGCTTGGCCACCGCCTCTGGCGGCTTGGTCCCCGCCGCTGGCGGCGCCGCGCTTGCTGCATCCTCAACTGCGCTGCCAGACGTCACTGCGCTTCCGGACTCAGATTTCGCGACGGCGTGCACAAGGGCGACCAGTGCTGTTCGAATACCGTCGGTGAAGAAGGGACTCTGCAACCAGCGCATGCGTATGGTGCAAGACATCGTGATCGCCCATCTGTTCGGTGGGGCTGTCATTCTGCCGGAGACTGTTTTCTCTCGAGAGGGCTGCAACTTCAAAGCTGAATGCTACGGGCAGTACACTGGAATGATTCCATTTGCGGATGTCTACGACGTTGAGAGTACCTCCCGAGCACTTGCTGCTGTCGGTGTCTGCACTATGTCGGAAGGAGCTGCCGCCACAAGATTTCAGCCGTCAAACGTGAAGCTATCTGCTAGAATGCGATCGACTTTGCAAAGGAAGCTATCTCTGCCCGCGTCGGTGTCCGAGCTACAGGACGTCGCCGAGACACACCAGAACATCTTCCTAGGGCGGGTGTGGTCCGTCGCTGACAGCACCGTCTGTTGCACGCTTGTTGTCCCAGACTCGGAGCTGGCGGTTCGTCTGCTTCGACAGGTGGCTGCCGCCTTCATCCCTGCTCCTCGGATCGTGTCCGTGGCGACGCAGGTGTTGGAGCGCTTCTATACGCGTGCTCACGAGGAGGCGGCCACCCCAGTTGCTATTCACTGGCGTGGGCAATCGGACATGGCCGCATCTTTTCATGCGCTCAACATCACAGCATACACAAACGAGGCTGCGCGCATGCTCGCTCCGCTCACGCCGCTGTGCTTGTTGATCTTGGGGGGTGCCAGCGCGTCAGAGTTGGCCGAAATTCACGCCCGCCTGAGAAACGCCTTTGGGCAACGTGACAACGCGCTGCGACTCTATTCCAAGGAGACGCTGATGCCCGAAATCAACTGGAGCCGCCATTTTGGTGGATACGACGACTTGGTTGGAATGGTGGACCTTGAGATTGCCCGCAAAGTCCGGACATTTATTGGAGCTCCGTTTTCCTCCTTCTCAGTGATTGCTGCCACCATGCGAGCGCTTCCCTGCTCGCCAGCGTCTGAATGTGTGGATACGAGAATGGTGCCCGTCGACGTGTCTGACCAACTTGGTCGCATCTTTTCCCTGCAGTTTCCGTACACAGACGACACGCTTCGGGACCGATGCAAAGCATTGACCAGACTGCACGACTGGCACAAGCCAGGAGAGTGGAGCTGCCCTACTCAGCCGCGTGCATCGCACCGCTTGCGGCCGGTGATTGCGCGTCGAGGCCGAGGAGGCCGCCGTCGCCTCCAGGCCGACGCGCACTCACCGTCCGCGAGGACGAGGCATCCGCGGTGTGGGGTTCTGGGCACGTCGCTGCACGTCAACCAACCAATCGATGCTCCGAGCCGCCTCGGCTTCAACTGCACGATTGCCGTGATTACCGCCCTGTACGGTGGCTACGATACGCTGCACAGCTACTCCCGTTCATTCCAGGCGCGGCTGGGTCGACAGGAGCTCGAGCATGGCGTTCACACTTGCTGGTTTGCCTTTGTAGATGCTGCCTCCGTCCGGGATCTGAGCGCGAGTGAGATTGCGCAAGCCAAGGCGGCCTTCAACACCACGGCCCTCGACGGTGGGTCTTGGGTGCAGTCCGGGGGGTGGAACCTGGTCATGCTACCCGAAGGGCAAATGACCGCCACGCTCCCTGAGCACAACCAACTCCGTTCTCGGCTGCCAAAGATGATGGCGCATTGCGTCTTGGCCCATGCCAAAACGATGCTCTACATCGATGCCAAACTCCACCTCAGCCAGCCAGCAAGCCTGTGGGCAATGGTGGAGCAGCTCAAGCCAGCAAGCCTGTGGACAATTCACGCACGTGGAGATGGGCCTGGAAGCGCGTGGGTGGCTCCGAGGCATCCCTACCGCTCCTCGGTGCGCGACGAGCTGGTGTGCCTATACCTGTCAGGGATCATTTCCGAACGCGCGTTTGCTCAGCTACGAGCGTACCATGCCGCCGGCTTCCCAAGCGAGCTGTCTGAATATGCGGGCGGCCCCGGGCTGATCGAGGGTGAGTGGCATGCGCGAGACTTGCAAGCAGCCGAGTCGACTGCACTCGCCAACGAGTGGTTTGACGAGTGGTGGCGCTGGAGAGAGCACAACACGCGCGATCAGATCAGCTTCATCTACGCCGCCTGGCGGATGGGCTTCCTGTCTCCGCACCAAACTCAGGGCAACAGGTCTGCGGTAGCCCAGCCGCAACCGAGAAGCAGCGGGCTCAAGGGCTTTGCGCATTTCAGACCACCTTGGTCAGTCAAAGACGCGGTGAAGAGTTGTGATGCCCAACCCGAGGCTTGGTCTTGCTACCTTATGCGGTACGCTGACCTGGGCAAGATCCTTCATGGTACGACGGCCGCCAGGAGACACTTTATTCGATTCGGGTTCAAAGAGACGCGCACCTGCCAGTGTGATGGCACAAGTGGGCCCTATTTGGTTTCGCGCAACATCCACAACCGCGCCCGCGCGTCCGCTGGCACAGAGAAAGCGCTTCTCACCAGCCGCTTTGCCTCTATGGAATCCGCTTTGACTCTGGAAGAGGTCAATCGACTTCGAGACGGCCACCGATGGTGCGCATTCCCTTCATTTGCTCTGGACAACGCAGATCTCACGCACCACCTACAGGGGCTTTTGAGGGGACGTCACAACCTGTCGCGTTGAATGTCTCGTCTGTGTGGAGACGAGCTCGGGTAGACAGCCCCCCAAAATCCACCAGGGCTAGTTCCATTTCACTGTGGCACAGCTCGCGTTACAAAACCTTGATTTTGACCATTTGCGCCATTTCGTCCCTCTCGGTGCCTTCCAGAGGCAGCTGTCACCCCGCCGAGTAGACGGTTGCACACAGCAGGTGGCGCGGTGTGCGCCCGTCCACTCGGCGGGGTCGCAGCTGCTTCTGCGCGTCCTGGAGAGGTACATTTGTTGCGCACCGGAGACGACTCGACGCCGCTGAGATCGGAGATCAAGATCTGACAGGTCACACGTCGCTCCTTTGACGCCGACGTGACTCACCCGTGCAGATCACATCAGGACACGGTCTCGACGCGCTCGGTACAACGCCTGCGACCCGTCTCGGGTCAGGTGGTACGACGCTCATCGCGCCTACCAGCGCTGCCATGCAGGCTGCCACGACGAGGTCGAGCACGCTTCTATACGCTCGCCAGGCCTTCCTTTGCATCCCATTAGGCAGCCTGGGAGCGGTGGCGGTCAGAGGCAAAGCCTACGAGGGGTGGTGGAACCACATGTCACGGCTACTGCCGGCTCGACCCCACGATAGCCTCCGAAGGCTGACTTTGCGGCACCATCATCGGACGATGTCGACGAGTTGGGTCGCTCTCGCGGTAGCCAGATGACCTCTCATACTAGCATCATCGGCCATGGCCGCAGGGAGCGCGGGGGAGGGCGCTGGGAGCAACACGGAGCTCCGTTGGACGTTTTCAAGATTAGCGTGTCAGAGTGAATTGGCACTAGCCCAGTGTGGGATTTCGCGCAATCGCTTGACTCTGAAAAGCTCGCATATCTCCCTGCGGTGAGCGCTGTGGAGTGTGGAGTGTGGTCGCCGCAGACTGGCTCCGACTTGACGGCAGCATGGAGACGTGATGCCTCCATGCTGCCGCCATGCGTCAAGTCGAAATCGACATGCAGCTCGATGGTTTGCCCGTGAGGTACATAGCGGCGTTTTGGGCGACAACAGCGCTGCGACCGCGAAGTGGCGGTGGGACACGCTCCCACGTTGCCGACGCGGCGCCGGAGTGGGCTGGCCGGCGCTGCTCGCCGCGACCACGACGGCTACTCTGATACTCCGGGCCGACCCGTCCTACCCGACGGTGTGGCACGTCTCGCTCACGCTGAGAAAAATTCTGAAACGGCGTGCAGCAGAGTCACCGACGAGTCGGTCCGCGTGCTTCCTCGTGTCCCGTACCGTTCTCACACATCCATAAACTCACTTTGGCCTCACTGAAGCGATGCCTCAATCCTGAATCCTCAGATTTTATAGATTAGGACGCTGTCTACCCCCTAGTTAGACTGTTAATTTAATTCCCGGGACTGCTAGACCCCCCCACACGTCCAAAGGGACCCTCATTTTTAACGATTTTGTTGAATAAAGCGCCCCCCCGGCACACCGGCACTCCACGTCGTGGGCGTGTAACTTCTCGAGTACGTGCAGTAACTGCGGACTGACAATCAATCAACTGGGTGAGCGACCTCGCTGTGGCCTGTGCACAGAGATGATTGCCGGGGCGTTTTGGTGAAACGCCAAAGAGAACTTGCAATGACTCATTCTCATCATCCGATGAAGCGGAGCGCTCGCATCGCGAGCGAATACATGCCCACAGACAGGCCGAGCAGCATTAGAGGGGTCTGCAGCGCCGGCGACTGCGCGCCCACCGCGAGTGCGCCCACCATGAGAGCGCCCACCGCCGCGCCGAGTTGCAGGTCCAGCAGCACCCCGCGTTCTCCGTGCCGCCGCCGCCGCGAGGCGGCGCTGCATGTACCCTCGTGCGGCGCGCGCAGCGTCCCCGTCTCGAGGAACTGCAGGATCGCGCCGGCCGGACACCACTGTAAGGTCCGTTCCGGGCATTTGAACGCGACCTTCGGGGGCAAAGACATGGGCTCTATGGCTCAGACTGGACTCCTCTTGGTCCCTTCTGATGCCCTAGGCCACACCTGGGCCTTACCTGGGGCTCTAGGGGGCGGGCGGGGTTTGCCCCCCGAAACTGGCAACCGGGATCGGCACCGTCGGCGCCCTCTGGATCCTCCTGGGGCACTCCTCGGCCTCCCGACGGTCGGCGGCACCAACCCCGTGCGCTTTGAGTCAAACTCGATCCTCGGCATGCGCATTCTGAGCCGCTCCGATTTCCCAACATCTGGAGAGCACCTTGCGTATCAGCGGGACGACGTACACCAGAGTGACCGGCCGAGGGCCCACACACGAGTGTGAACAGCGTAGCTGTCTCTCCCTTCTCGACTGTCTCACGATGACACAACGCGTGAACAACCATTCTGACGAGCCACCGAGCATACTTGTGTGGACCTTTCGGGCTCCTATCCTCCCCACGCCCCGGATCCGTGTGGGCGATCGCACACGCGGAGGATAGGATCCGTGGGCGATTGTACACACGAGGCTGGGGGGTATGGCGCGAGGTGCCAGGTAGCGCTTCCCACTGAAAAGGACTAAGGAGGTTTTGGAGCCCCTAAAAGCGTCATAATAGCCGCACGTTTGCACTCGCCGTCGCGTGCCTTGCCACCTCCGCACCGCGCTCCCTCCTTCAGTTTTGGGGCGAATCGTCGCTGCAGCACGCGCCGTTCGTCGCGGAGCGCGGTCTCGACCTGCTGGCGCTCCGCGAGCCGATGCGGTTGTACACTGGTAGTGTCAGCGAGGCCGCACAGGCCTTCCCCGCCAATGTGAACGTCGCGGCTGCCGTTGCGCTTGCCGGCATCGGTCCGATGCGCACGCAATATGAGCTTTGGGCCGACCCCACAGTCAAGCGCAACACGCATAGCATGCGCGTCGACGCGGCTGAGAGCACCTTCGAGGTCAACGTGGCAGGGGTGCCTTCGAAGACTAATCCGGCTACGGGCGCGCTCACCCCACTCTCTACGATCGCGACACTTAGGGGGCTCGTGTCGCCATTTCGGGTCGGCACGTGACTCGCGAGCGTGGCTGCGTGAGGCTGTGGTGGTTCAGTACACCAGATATCGGTGTCTGCATAAAGGAAGCGCCGCCATATTGGGGGGGATGCGATCACCCCCCATGCGCCATGGGTGCCCTTTCTAGTCATTCTAGTGAATGAATTGACTCGTCCCAGTGGATGTGTCCGATTTCCGACGTCCCTGTCAAAATGTGCGTGACGTCCGATCCTTTGTAATCGTCTAGAGACGCTGGATACATGAGCACGGAGCAGGCCGCTCCCGGCCCCACGCTGCGCCCACGGCCCGCGCGGCCGGCGCAGCCGCCGCCCCGGGAGCTCAGGCGCTACCGCTCCGCTTGCGCATCCCCTCTCCAACCCGACAAACCTGAAAACTTCCTCGACAAGTTGATTCATATGGACAAGAGGAGAGCAAACGCTACAGTAAGCTTACGAGGACTCGAGGAGTTGTTGGTCGCACGTCGCTCGTGTCGGCACGCCAAGTGCACGCAAAAAACGCTCCTCCCCATCACAGCTCCACCACCCCTTTCGGCGTCCGCAGTCGCGCCACCAGCCTGCTGCTGCAGGGGGCCGCGCCGGCCGGCTGCGCGAGCAGGTCTGAGGCTTCGATGCCGAGGGCGGCGAGGCTGGCGGACGCCTCCAGCGGTGCCGCCGACTCGGCGCGGAGAGAGAGCAGCTCGATGCCTACGGGCGATCTCGGGTGATCTCGTGCGATCTCGTGCGATCTCGGGTGGTCTCGTGTGATCTCAGGTAACCTGGGGTAATCTCGTGCGATCTCGTGCGATCTCGTGCGATCTCGGCTGCGAGACGGGAGCCAAGGAGTGGTCGCCGAGAGGGAGGGTTGATATGGGCGCGAGGGTTGATGGGGATGAGGACCGATCGGCGAGGGGTGAGAGTGCGGAGGAGCGGGCAGGGCTGGGGGGGCTGGTGGGGGGGGGGGGGGGTGGGGGGGGGTGGGGGGGGGTGGGGGGGGGGTCGGAGCCTCGCGGCGCGCTGGCGGCGGGCGTGAATGCCGCGCAGGAAGGCGCCCACTCGATCAGGAACGGCACCAGCCCGTCCGAGGGCAGCATCGCCTGAGGAAGGATGCGTCGAAGAGGAGCAGGCTCCAGATTGGGGCACCCGCCGAAGGGGGGGGGGATTCGCAGCGAGGGGAGGGTTCGCCTCCGTGTAGTGTCGGTACGCCAGCTGCCACTGCAGCGTGCGCCCGTCCGGCGTCTGGCGCGAGAAGGACTGCACATCGCCAGGCTGGTACCTGTCCACGGGGAGGTGTGGGGAGGTGTGGGGAGGTGTGGGGAGGTGTGGGGAGGTGTGGGGAGGTGTGGGGAGATGTGGGGAGATGTGGGGAGGTGTGGGGAGATGTGGGGAGGTGTGGGGAGGTGTGGGGAGGTGTGGGGAGGTGTGGGGATGGGGAGATCGGGGGAGATAGCACATCGCCCGGCGGGCACCTGGTCACACTTGAGCCGTGTGACAGGGGCGGGCAGCAGCGGCGGGCACCGCACGCCGCCCAACCCAATACCTGTTCACTCTCACATACGCGTGCGAAAGGAGCAGTTCACAGCGAAGCGACCACCGCGCACCGCCCGGCACGTACCCGGCAGCTGCGGCAGCCGCCGCGCACGCCTCCAGCCCGCGCGCCGGCGTGTGCGCCTAATCTCGGTGCAGCCTCGGGGGTAATCTCGACCAATCTCGCGAGTGGCGCAGCACGTGGCGGGGGGGTGCGGGTGCCCATGTGACCAAGCGAGGCTCGCCTCGCGCGGCGACAGACTCCATCGCCATCCACACCCGCTCAGGCCGCGGCTGCTGCGCCTGCTTGCAGCCACAAGGCCGTGGACGGCTCTTCTTCACAGCTACTCGGCCCCAGCAACTGCTGCGAGTTGCTGCGCCGGGTCGAGCGCGAGCAGCTCGAGGTAGCCGCACGAGGCGCCGCAGGAGCCATCCTCCGCCCCACCTGACAGAAACAATCGAGCAGCTTATCCACGCAGTGGCGGCACGCGGCGCCGCAAGGAGCCGCCGTCGTGTCTGCCGAGAGCGACGATAGCGTTGTGCGTGCCTATCGAGGTCTCGTCCACAACTCACCCGTCGGTGGGTGCCATGCGACCAGGCGGCGACCGTGCGGCATGCGCGCCGAGCCCTTTGTGCACCCCCCCCTTGGTGGGCGCGACCCCTGTCGCCGCCTCGAAGGCAGCGCACGCCTCGACGAGGGGGGGAGGGTCGAGATTCGCCGAGATTGAGCGCGAGATTGAGCGCGAGATTGGGCCCTAGACTGGACCCGAGGTCGCACCCGAGATTGCCCGAGGTTGCCCGAGGTTGCCCGAGGTTGCCCGAGATTGCCCGAGATTGCCCGAGGTTGCCGCCAGATTGGGCGCACGCCTCATCGAGGGAGCCGGGCACGCCGTACACGAGGTGGTCGACCCTCAGCCGCCGAGTCCGATGCTCGTCGAGCTGCATGGCGCCTGGGAAAAAGAAAAAAACAGTCGGACCGGAAAAGGACATACACCGCGGCCGCTGCTCGTCGAGCTGCATGGCGCCTTCATTGTTCAAAGTGATGTAACGACATACACACTAACGGTGCTCGTCGAGCTGCATGGCGCCGGGCGGCAGCTCGTCGAGAGAGTGGCTGACGAGGGTCGCTTGGTCTGCAAAGGTGAAGTCGCCGATCACGTCGCCGCCGGCCAGCACGTGCGGCAGCCTATTCATTTCAACTCTCATTTCATCAACTATAACAAAAAGCCGCCGGCGGGCACGCTCGGCTGCCAGTGCGCGTCGTCCGCCCACATCTGGCCGAGCGGAACCTGGTCGCAGCCCCACCAGCGCGGCGCCATCTCTTCCGACTCGGCCACCTGTTCACACCGCCTGCTGCTGTGAAGAGACAGACCGCCCCCTTAACGGAGCGTTCACACTTCCGGCGGCCACCTCGCCCTCCGCGTCGCCAAGGCTGCACGAGTAAATATGCACCTCCAGCCGCGATGCGATCGTGCCGTCCGCGCCTTTCATCCCCGAGTCGGCGAGCATGTGGAAGTTGAGCACGCCGCGGCGGACGAGCGCCGCAGCCGGCACGCTCAGCCCGGCCTCCTCCCGAAGCTCGCGGGCCGCACACGCCCGCATGACCTCGCCCGCCTCGAGCTTGCCGCCAAAGCCGTTGTACTTGCCCTGCGGCGGTGCGGCGTGCGGTGGTGGCGAGTGGCGACGGCGGTGCGGCGGCTAACAGCGGTGAGCGGCGACGGCGGTGCCGGTCTAGAGCTGGATGGCGGTGGCAGAGAGATGTGGAGCGTGGTGGCGAAGAGACCTGGCCGAACCCGCGCTTCTTGAGACCGAGGAGGACACTCCTGCCATCGAACACAAAGACGAGGGAGAGCAGCTTGTTCGCCTGCATGGCGGCGTGGTCGGCGTGTCGGCCCCGGGGCGCGGTCGAGCGATTCTAGGGCTACCGCTCCGTTCACACCTTCGTCACAATGCGAACCGCGCGCGGCCGTCGACCTACATACATACGTCGACCTAGGGAAGTTCGCTCAGGATGTGTGGCAGCCGCCCTGTTGGCTGAGTGTCTTGTCTTGTGGTTCTGTGTGTAGCTCCTGTGTGAGCGTCATCGCCCGTCTAGCGTCCACCCATACCGCGTTGGAGAGAGAGAGACGCGTTCGTTGGTGTCCCAGTCGTTGGTCGGACTGTCAATCAATCAATCAATCGGAATGTGTTTCGCCTTCCCATCAATCAATCAATCGTCGACCGGCAAGCACACTTGTTTGTTCCTTCGGCAACTTGGCTGGGGGGGGCGACAGGGGGGGAGCGCGGCCTTGAGTTATGTGTACGCCAACTCAGGGTGTGTGGCAGCCACGTTGGCTGAGTGTCTTGTCTTGTGGTTCTGTGTGTCGCTCCTGTGTGACCGTCACCGCCCGTCCCGCGTCCACCCATACCGCGTTGGTGTCCCAGTCCTTGGTCGGACTGTGCTTCGCCTTCCTAATCCTTATCAATCAGGCGTGGGCCGGCGATAGAGTGAGCCGGCCTCGCGAGAAAAGCAAAAGGCTTTGTGGCGGCCCGGACTGTGTCGTGTTTCGCCTTCCTATCAAATTGTTTTGTGACTCGATCAATCAATTGCGAGAAACCTCGGGTCCTGAGCGCCAGGTGGGTCGCGAAAACCACCAGATAGTCGGATCACAGTCGGCCCGGGCGGGAGGCTCCAAGCGAATGGCCACCCCGCGGCTCCCGCTCCTCGCTCGCGCGGCGCCGCTCGCTGATCAGCCGCTCCGTCGCGTTGCGCAGCTCCGGAGGGAACCAGGACGGGAAGCGGCGGCGGGCGGCGGCGAGCGGCAGCCCGGCGGCGAGGCCATCGCACGACGCGCGCGGGCCTGCCCTGAGGCGGCCGTGCAGCTCCATCGCCCGGTGGCAGAGCGCGAGGAGGGTGTAGTTGTAGGCGAGGCCTGGTGTGCCGTCCGCTGACCCGCCGAGCCACAGAAAGGCGCCGCGCACCGCCTCGAGGGCCCGACGCTTCGACGCAATCTCGGCCGCCGAGACGCTGCGCAAAGCCTAGGGACACATCCGTGGCCAGAGTAGAGCAATGCGAGTGTGTGTTGGCCCGGACCCGCACGCGAGGCGCTGCGCGATGCCTTTGGCAGCGCGGCGATGTCGCCCTCTCCGATCGTCCTCGAGAAGGCGTCGAAGGGAAGCACGTCCTCGAAGCCCTGCACGACGTTCGGCTGCGCGACGAGCGGCACGCAGTTCAGGATGGCGCTGATGCCGATCCGAATCCCCCAGCCGTTTCCGGCCGGCGCGAGGCAGAACTTTGCGCGCGTCCACACGTCGTGCGGGATCGTTGCGTTGGATATGAGGATGCCCGTCGCGTTCTCGGCGCTTTTGCTCCCGTACCGTAGCCACAGCTGCTGCCGAATCCCCAGGGAGTACCTCGAGACTGCGTGAGGGCCTGTGTTTTTCCAGCCCCAGATGCCACCCGCAAACACCAACTCGTGATCCCACACGTCGTCGGCTCGCGGCGGCGGCGGCGGCGGCGACGGTGGAAACGGCGGCGGCGGCGGCGGCGGCACTTGCGGCGGCGGCGGCGAGGGCGGCGCACGCCGCGCATTCCGACGCTTCCGTCTAGCCTTGGGGACGCCTTTCTTGTGTAGCGCTGGTGACCGTCCTTTCGCTGCTTCGACGAACGGAGGCACGACAATGTCTTTGTGCGGCGCGTAGCACCACGGCCGATTCGACATCGAGCGTGGTGCGCTCCTGCTGCTGCGGTAGCTGCCGCCGTCGCTGCCGCTGCTGGGCGTGCACTTCCCGCAAGTCGCAACGCACGCCTCGGACGCCGCGACGCCGTCGCTGTCGCGAGCCTTGCACCGGGTGGAGGGGCGCTCGGCGACGTACCCGCAATCCCAAATCGTCCCACGTCGCCGCCAAGTCGCCGAGTCGACACATTGGGCCACCTTCTCCGCCTCCGCTAGCCAACTTTCGAATTGCCGTAAGGCTACAGCTGGGCACTCGGCGCAACCGCCACAGCCGACACGAGAGCAGCGCTCGAGTTGTCGTGGCTCGGCAGCGCAGAAGGACTGGCAGCCGCTGACGTTGAACGCAACACCACGGCTGGAGGAGCTCAGCCGCACCCTTTGCCTTCTGCCACTGTTGCCAGAGGGACGGGCGGTAGAAGCAATCTCTCCTGACTTCAAACTAGCTCCTGGCATGAGTTTTTCCGGCATGGGACCGTCTCCCATATCCACATCCAGGCCATCGCTCGCGCGGTTCTCGTCTCGCGCGCCACGCATCGCCTCCTCCAGCGCTTGCGTCGAGCGCTCGAGCTTAGCCCCGGCCTGCAGGGCCGGCGTGAGGGTCAGCTCGGGTAATCTCGGCTAATCTCGGAAACTCGCGGGTCATATGCCTGCAGGGTAGGCGCGAGCAACCCCCAGTGCGAGATTAGGATTGCCTTCCTGCGGACGGTGCTCGACATGCTGCACCAGCCGACATCGGCCGTCGAGAAAAAGACGTGATCTCTCCCCTCGTGCCTGCTCCAGAAGAAGGGCATCGCCTTCTGCAGGTACGCCACCGCCTATAATGATCGTTAAAAACGATTAATAGTTACAACCAGGGAACGCCCTCTGCATGCGTGCCTTGTCAAAGGCGTTGGTCGGCGCGTTCATGTTGCCCGAATGGGTATAGTAGCCAAATATCGGGACAAAGAACAGGTCGGCCTCGTAGGGGTCGGTGGTGCGGGTCGCGCCGTCCTCGAGCAACTGATGCAGGAAACGGAGCTCGGCGGAGTAGATTGGGTCCGCTGAAGCCCCCGGATACACGGACAAGTGCTTCGACAAATCATCGGCGCCCGCGGCGTCGTAGTGCACCTACTTGTCCAACATCCCGAGTACGTGGACATAAACCGTGTCCCCCCGCGGCAGGCCGACGCACCGCCCTCGCAAACTTTGCGGAGTGCAGCAGGTGGCCCTTCATCGCCCTGTATGTGGCGAGGGCCAGCCCAACCTACATGCACCGGCAACGCGTGCATCGCGGCGAAGCCACGGCGACCCTTCTGCTGCGGCAAGGCGACTCCTGGCTTTCCATCGGCAAATCGTGCACAAAGATGCGGAGCCACCCTGCGCCACCCTGCTCCGTGCCGGCGCCGTTCCGGCCGCCGGACCTTGCGCGCTCACCACCTCCGCCGACCTTCCCCGCCGGCTCGCCGTCCCCACCGCCTCCGGAGACCCGCTCACCGCCGCCTCCGGATGCCTGCTGACCGCCTCCGCCGACCCTCTTCAGCTCGCCGCCGCCGTGCGCGCAATCGATTCCAAACGCGCCCCGGTCGCAGAGGCAGATGCCGATGGCGCAACGTCCGCGGCCAGAGCAGCAGAACGGGTCCGAGTCGTTGGCTCGACACCCCCAGCAGCCGCGCCTGGAGAACTGGGGTGGGTGGGTGAGCGTGTGCTTGCATACTACGGCCGCAGCGACACGGCCGCGGCGAAAGAGCGCACCGTCCCTGAGGATCCAGCCCAGCGTATTTACGAGGGCTTGCCGCCGGAAAGCCGGCCGCCGTCCGATTCAGCTCGAGGAGGTACATCTCGGACCACATCGTGCCGTGCAGCCGCTGGGTATAGCCGTACGGCAGGTGGCCTGCGCGCACCGCAATTGGGACGAAAGTCGGCGTTTCCGCTGTGGGTGTTCTAAGCGCGTCGCTATCAACATGGGAACGCGCTGGGCTGATCGTCTCGTGGGGCGCCTGGTGCGTTTGGCAGCGCGTTGCAGTTGCCCTGCCAGTCCATGTTTCCAAAGCAGAACCTGCTCGCGTTCTCCTGCTCCACCTCCTCCTCCAGCCACGGGTAGAAGTCTGCAAAGCTCGCCCTCGTTACGTCAAGCCGCTCAACGGGATCGCACGCACATCTTGACCCTTCCGGCTTGTCCCACGTCCCGCAATCCACATTTTTCTTACGGCCTGCGCATCTGAACTTACCACGGCAGTTGTGCACCCAGATCATGGGCTGGCCGTCGTGTGCGAGATCGCAGCCATATGAGCGGCCCTGTATACACTTGGCGATGCTGGCCTGCTTCACGAGGGTCACCTGACAGCTGCCGTTGCCCGGCCGTTCAGGCACCGTGCGATGTAGCCGAGTGGTTTTAGCAAGCCCTGCATGTAGTAGCTTGCTAAAACCCTGCATGTAGTCCACGCCTTTGCTGCACGGGCAGTTGTAGGAAGCCCGGCCGGGAGGGTACCCACACTGCACCAGTGTGGTGGTGTTGCGGTCTGCGCACCGGAAGCTGCCTCTGCAGCTCTTGACCCACACCGCTAGCCGCCCAAAGCGGTCGCTACATCCGAAGGAGCGGCCCGCAATGCATGGGGAGTAGCTGGCCTGATTCACGAGGCTGACGGAGCCGAGGCCTGCTGCACATCCGCCGCCGATTTGAGACAGCTGCCTGCGAGTCAGATTCCGCTCCCGAAAGAGCCTTGGCCTTTGATATAGCTGCCTGCGGCTCGCATTCCGCCCCTGCTTCGCGTTCTCAGCCAAGCTGGCGTCTGCGAAAGGCGACGGAGCGAGCAGCTGTAGCGCTGACGGTGGCGACCGGTTTGGAGACGACACAAATAATCCGCTCGCAGCCACACTTGTGGAGCACAGGCAACCCAGCATGCAAAACATGCTTTCAAATACGGTGACTCTGTGCGTTTTCGGGCCCGGGGTTGTACGTTTACGTGAATCCCGTCAGGAGGAGCAGCGGCGACTACAGTTGTACCTGGACAGTAGAAGAGGGCCCAGAAAAAGAATTCTTAAGATACAAGCCTGGGCGCGGACTGGCGCGGACTGGCACACACACAGGCTCACCACCGGAGCCGCCTAAGCGACTCCGTTAAGAACGGCAATGCACTCCGCACCATGCACAATGCCGCTCTCCCCGCACGCTAGCTCGTTCACCGTCTGCCACGCCACGGCGGTGTGGAGGACGACAGACAAGCGCTGCATCTGCAGCCCGTGCCAGTTCTTGGTGGTCCATGTGACCTCGTCCAGGTGCTGAGCGTGCGAAAGTTTGTTGCTCAGCTGGTTCGCCGCCTCCCTCAGGGTGCTGCGAACCTCCTTTCCAAAGCCTCCGAAAGCCTCAAAATCAAACAAACGTAGATCGCAATCCTGCTGCCGCGCAAAGGGGTAATCGCCAGGCAGCTCCTTGAGCTTTCCCTTGGGGGCATCCTCCTCCTCCCCCTCCTCCCCCTCCTCCTCGGCCTCCTCCTCCTCCCCCGCCACCGCCGCTGCCGTCGCTCCCGACGGAGACCACTTGCCGCGCCCTTTGACCAACTTGAGCAGCCCGGTCTCCGTGTTGCCAAAACGCACATAGGCCCCCTTCCAGCCGAGCTCTCCGTCGCCGGCCGTGTCCTTGCCCTGGCTCGCAAGCGAGCTCGTGAGCTTCAAATCGGCAACAAGGCGCCTGTGCCCCCTGCCGATGTTTGCCGCCGCCACGTCAGGTTGTTTTGGATTACTGTAACTGAGGTGTGCAGTCGGCTCCATCTCGATGATCATGCCCCACGCCGAGCGGAGGCATTTGATCAGACGTTTGAGTAGGACGCGCTCGACAAAAGCAGGGCTGGCCCGAAGGCGCGCAGCAAACTCGCGGACGCACTCCCTGCGCCCAAACGAGTCGCGGGTGGACGCAGCCCTGGCAGCCGCCGCATCGCATGACGCTCTGCCACTCGCCGCCGCCTCGCGGCCCCGCCCGCCGCATCTCACTCTGGTTCCCCACCCGCCGAAGGGCCTCCCGGAGGACAACCACGTCGGCGTCGTCCAGACTGACGCCAAGCACATCGCAGAGCTCCTCCTCGAGAGTGAGAAAGGGCTGGCGAGGAAGCGGGTGGCCAGCGCGGCGGCAGACGTCGCCTCGCAGCAGGTCGCCTCGCAGCAGGTCGCCTCGCAGCAGGTCGCCTCGCAGCAGGTCGCCTCGCTGCTGCTCGCCTCGCTGCTGCTCGCCTCGCTGCTGCTCGCCTCGCTGCTGCTCGCCTCGCTGCTGCTCGGCCTCGCTGCTGCTCGGCCTCGCTGCTGCTCGGCCTCGCTGCTGCTCGGCCTCGCTGCTGCTCGGCCTCGCTGCTGCTCGGCCTCGCTGCTGCTCGGCCTCGCTGCTGCTCGGCCTCGCTGCTGCTCGGCCTCGCTGCTGCTCGGCCTCGCTGCTGCTCGGCCTCGCTGCTGCTCGGCCTCGCTGCTGCTCGGCCTCGCTGCTGCTCGGCCTCGCTGCTGCTCGGCCTCGCTGCTGCTCGGCCTCGCTGCTGCTCGGCCTCGCTGCTGCTCGCCCTCGCTGCTGCTCGCCCTCGCTGCTGCTCGCCCTCGCTGCTGCTCGCCCTCGCTGCTGCTCGCCCTCGCTGCTGCTCGGCCTCGCTGCTGCTCGGCCTCGCTGCTGCTCGGCCTCGCTGCTGCTCGGCCTCGCTGCTGCTCGCCCTCGCTGCTGCTCGCCCTCGCTGCTGCTCGCCCTCGCTGCTGCTCGCCTCGCTGCTGCTCGCCTCGCTGCTGCTCGCCTCGCGGCGCGCCCGGCGGCCGAGCTGAGGCAGCAGCGCCAGGAGGGGCCTCCAGGTGCTCGCCGCCCCATCGCGGCGGCCGGCCGGCCGAGCTCTGCTGAAGCGTGCACGGGATGCCTTTTGCATCCAGGCGTCGTCCTGCGGAGCGCGGCCCACCGGCCGGTGGCGCGCGTGCCGAGCCAGAGTCCTCGCGACCGGTGCCAGCGGCAGCGGTCGCGCACGGCTGTAGCCGCGTAGGAGCCCTGGGTCGGCTACCGTGGCCACTGCCCAAGGCAGCGGCCACCATGGCAGCGCGCTACGGCGTCTTTTAGAATTTGGACATCCAGATTTTAGGAAAAGAATTTTTCCGCAGGGAGGGTCCGGGGATAAGGTATGCCGCGAGGTAGGTGGACCTCACCCTCTCAAAGACTAGGGGGAAGGTGTGTGTGTGTGTGTGTGTGTGTGTGTGTGTGTGTGTGTGTGTGTGTGTTCTCGAGGTTCTCGAGGTGGATATATATCCTTTGGCCGCGTTGGGTAGCGAGGATTGGTGTGACGCGATCCACGCAGGCGTGTTTTCTGGCGGCCGACGCCACCGTCAGTGCACGGAGTTGCCCCTTCTCCGACTGCCCCGGCTAGTTCCCGAGGTCGTCGGGTGTGACCCCTTCGTCCCCCGAGACCTAGCGCGGGTGGGTTGGAGGGGGCTCGCCCCGTTCCTCCCCATCGGGCCGCGTGAGCGGCAGTGTGTGTGTGTGTGTGTGTGTGTGTGTGTGTGTGTGTGTGTGTGTGTGTGTGTGTGTGTGTGTGTGTGTGTGTGTGTGTGTGTGTGTGTGTGTGTGTGTGTGTGTGTGTGTGTGTGTGTGTGTGTGTGTGTGTGTGTGTGTGTGTGTGTGTGTGTGTGTGTGTGTGTGTGTGTGTTAAGAATACTCTCTGCGTGCAGCGGTTTTCTGCGTGTAGCGGTTCCAGCGTAAACGCCGAGGACCTCCGACAAGGCGGGCGCTTTGGTACCCGGGGGGCAAACTAGTAGCGCCTCCCCGCGAATGACGAGGTGCGCCGCGCTGCACCCGACTCGCATACATGCCCCCCGCCGGGCGCTTCTCGCCGTCAGTTGCTACACACGCGCGTGAAGTTGATGTGCAGTCTCGCGCTCCTGTTCCTCCGCCGCCAGATCACACGCCATGACCACCGCAGCTTCATTCCGGCGCCACCTCACACCACGGCCACATCACACTCAGCTCTCCCGCTGCTCCCCGCACGCCTCCAGATGCTGAGCAGGGTCCTTCCGAGCACGGCAGTGGATGCCGATGCCATGGACACTAATGGACTCGGTCCCGAGCAGCTGGCGGAGAAGAGCATGGCGCGGTCGCTAGCTAGCACAGACTCGGTCATCCACGGCAATCCGCCGACCGCGTGCCAGCAGGCACTGACGCACCACCACCCTCGCTCCCTGCAGGAGGGCCGTAAGGAGGTAGCACTCTCGATCTACGGGTACATCGCGCAAGAGATCGACTTTGAGATCCCAAAGCTGAGCTACGACCCAAAGTCGTTCTACCAGGCGCCCTCCCCTCGCTTTCCCCCCTGGCAACCGCCGCCTCCCAACGCTGCTCCATATCCATGTCCCCGCCCGCGCAGAGCGTCTCGACTCACGCGGGCGCGCAGACGCCCTACAGTGCAGTGGATGGTCCTCTGCGCGAGGCGGCCACTAGATTTGCTAGGTGACACTGGATCGGCGGCATCTCATACGAGTCTAAGACACTTCCGATACTCCTCCAAGCTACCAAGCCACGTCTGAGACGCTTCCGAGACACTTCCACGCGTAATTTCCGTCGAGTCGGGCCCACTTATCTCTAGGCATCAGAGCTCGATAGAAATCACGCCGCGTGAGCTCGCTGCAGGATGCCGTGTTGAGCGAGCGAGAGTGGGGTTGGATGGGCGGCGCAATTGCGGACGCCTTCAACCACGACCACGGTTTGGTGCCGGCGGCGCAGCTTGAGGAGATGGGCGCCAAGCTCGAGCGCGTGCTGGCCCCAAAGCTGCAGGCTGATATGTAGCCGAGGTGTTCCGAGATGAAGCCGACATCGTGGACTAGTTGGACTCTGCCGAGACTATTCCCTCGTGGCCATGCCTGCCGAGCGCGCCTTGCACTTGCAGGCCGCCGTCGATGCGGCGAGCGAGACGCTCTGCCTCGGCGAGCGCGGGGTCGCCCTCACCTTCCTCGGTCTCGAGATGGGCAGCCGGCTCCAGGCCACCGCGAGCTTCAGGCGCGCTCCGCGGGGTGTGGGAGGCTGGCTGCCTCGCCTCGCATGGCCTCGCCCCACCATAGCTGCCTAGTGCGATGAGTTGCCGCTGCACAGCCAATCACGACCGGTGCCACGGTAGGCTTTCTTGGCCAGCGGCGGGCCCGATGGTGCCGTTCGACGAGGTGACCGGAGTTGTGCTGCCGGGCGGAACAATGCCGGAGCAGCCAGCTGGGTGCGGGCACGGTTGCGGTTGCTGCATCGCCTGAGCACCCACCCCCATCGCTTCGATCCGGTAGCCTCTAATGCTACTCGGATCTCGCGCTTTTCGCTTTCCCGTCCCCGCGCCGCCGTCGTGTGGCAGGTAACGAATGCAAGGACAGAGCGTGTGCGAGACGCCCTCTACGAAAAAAAGCAGGAGAAAAAGGGAAAGAAAGAAAGAAAACAGACAAGGGGGGGGGGGGGAGGACGGCACGCCGCCATCACACACAGGGATTTCAAGGAGAGGAGTGTGGTGCTAGCCGCCGCCCACCCTTGGGCGTCCGCCTCTTTCTATCTCTTTTCTCAGTCCCTCGCCGATTCTCGCCGCAACAGAGTAAAAAGAAAGAAAGAAAACGGACACCCCAATTGCAGAAATTTCTTTTTTAACTTCACTCGCGCAAACATGGCGGACTCCCTGTTGCAGCGGCGTGCCCTCGTCGCGGCCTCGATCGCCATCGCAGCCTGCGCCGCCGCCGGCCTATGGCTGACACGAGGCCACTGGGGCGCCGCGTTGCAGCTGCTGAGGCAGGAGGCGGAGCGGCGGCGCGAGGAGGCGCCCGGCGCAGTTGCCGCCTGCTGCGTCCTCGTCGTCGCTCTCTGGGTAATCCTCCTCATCCCATCGACGCCGATCGAGGCGCGAAGTCTCCGAGACATCTCTCAGACACCTCCGAGACGCATCCGAAGCGGGCGGGCCGCCTTCGCAGGTGACGATTGCCTACCTGTACGGGCTGAGGCTCGGCTTCCCTCTCGTCTACCTCGGCAAGGTGCTCGGCTGCCTCTCCGCGTTTGCAATCGGCCGCTCCTGCCTGCGAGACTGCTGCGAGCGCCACGTCCGCAAGACGCGGCTGCTGCGAGCCGTCGAAGGCGCCGTCGCCAAGGCGCTCTCCGAGAGACGCGAGAGCCGTCCGAGAGGCGGCCGCCGTTCACGGCACAGCCGCGGGTGTGAGAGCAGGAGCCGCTTCGGATCGCCTTTCTGTCGCGCGCCGCCTACCTCCCCATCGCGTTCAAAAACTACGGCCGGCATGTAGCGAGATGCTGAAGAGAGGCTGCCGAGATGCTGCGGGGTGCTGCTGGGCTGCAGCCGAGGTGCAGCCGAGGGACAGCCGAGGGGCAGCCGAGGTGCAGCCGAGATACAACAATTACAACCGTGCCCACCTGCCTGCGCCGAGGGTTTGCACGGCGCCCGTTCACAGCTGCCCGCCGTGAACAGGCCTCGCCGTCCTCGACCTGCCGTGGAGATATGGGGAGATATCGGGAGATGTGGGGAGATGTGAACAGGCCTCGCCGTCCTCGACCTGCCGTGGAGCGCCTTCGTGGCCGCCTTGCTCACCGTCGAGGTCTAACCTCTAACCCTGACCCTGACCCTGACCCTAACCCTCACCCGAACCCTCACCCATACCCTTACCCTAACCCTAACCCTAACCCTAAGCCTAGCCCCAACCGCTGTCGAGGTCTGGAACTCGCTCCAGTTTGCTCTCATCGGCTCCGCGGCTCGCTCGGTCGGCGGCGGCAGCGGCGGCGGTGGCGGCGGTGTTGGCGGTGGTGGTGGCGGCGGCGGAATCCCCACCGGCCTCGCCAGCGGCGGCGGCGGAGGAGGTGGCGACACCTCTGGAGGAGGCAGCCTGGCTTGCGAGTGGTGAGGACTCAGCTGGTTCGTGGACGTTGCAGGCGGCAAGGCTGGGGGCAACCTGCGCTGGCGGGCGCGGCTTCCGATCGCGGTCGCCGGCCTGCTGGTGGTGGTGCTCGGCGCGTACTTGGCGACTGTGACGCGTCGTGAGCTGCGGAGGAGCGAGAGATGGCCGAGAGGTGGCCGAGAGGTGACCGAGAGATGGCCGAGAGATGGCCGAGAGATGGCCGAGAGACGGCCGAGAGGTGGCCGAGAGATGGCCGAGAGATGGCCGAGAGGTGGCCGAGAGGTGGCCGAGAGATGGCCGAGCGACAGCCGAGCGACAGCCGAGCGACAGCCGAGAGACAGCCGAGAGACAGCCGAGAGACAACCGAGCGACAGCCGAGCGACAGCCGAGCGACAGCCGAGCGACAGCCGAGCGACAGCCGAGAGATAGCCGAGAGACAGCCGAGGAGGACAGCACCTTCAACGAGGTCATACTCACCGAGCAATAGTAACACTCCCCTCATCAGGATCGAGATGGAGGAGGAGAGCGCCGAGGCCGAGGGCGCGGGCAGGCTGGCGACGCCTTCTGAGTTTCTTTGTGAAGTCTTCTTAATCATTAGTCACTCTTGTTTAATTCTGAATCATTCTTCAGGCCGCTGGCGACTCCCTCGCCGCCAGCCGCGCGATCTGCAGGAGAGTCGACACTTCTGCTGCACCTCTGCTGCATCTCTGCTGCACTTCGGCTGCACCTCGGCTGCACCTCGGCTGCACCTCGGCTGCACTTCGGCTGCACCTCGGCTGCACCTCGGCTGCACCTCGGCTGCACCTCGGCTGCACTTCGGCTGCACCTCGGCTGCACTTCGGCTGCACCTCGGCTGCACCTCGGCTGCACATCGGCTGCACTTCGGTTTCATTTCGGCTGCACTTCGGCTGCATCTCGACTGTATCTCGGCTGCATCTCGGCCGCACTTCTGCTGCGCCTCGCGCTATCTGCAGGCGAGTCGGAGGCGTCGCCGCCCGGCGCAAAGGCTTCGCAGGGCGGCGGCTTCCCGGGGCTCGACACGGAGCGTTGATCAGCGTCTGTTCCCAGCTGCTGCTGTGAATAGGCGGCGGTTTCTCGAGGCTCGCCGAGGAGGGGAGGCTGAGCTGAAATCGCGGAGGTAGGGCAACTCACAGAGACGCGTTTGGCGCCGGGCAGTGGCCTCTCTCGCCCTCGTGGCTGCCTATTGTGTACGGGGGGAGCATTTTATTGTGCACGGTTGTGTGTGTGTTGTCTCTCGACCGTACTCGCGAGGCTCTCGTCTCACCAAACTCGTCGTGTGTGTGGTGTGTGTCAGTGGTCGGACTGTTAGTGCTGCGTGCCGCGAGGAGAGTTATATGGGGTAATTTGTGCGATTGCCGCTTCGTTTTGTGATTGGCTACAATGTATGTACATATGCACATGCACATGCATGTGGGTTGTGGGCCTCGGCTGTCCCGGTGTCGCGCGCAAAAAGCCCACATAGTTCTCACTCTAGCATTCAACACTCTGCATTTTCTTTTGGCCCGAAGTCACGGAAACGGTTTTGGGAGGGGGGGGGGGGGGGGGCAACGGGCAAGTCCAAGTGGCGGATTGCGCACGACACACCGCTTTAATTTAATTTATCCACACTAAGCGAGGAGGGCAACGCCAGGTTTTTTATATTATACCAAAAGCTAGGTAGGCCCACAACGCCCTCTATGTTGGGTCAAGGGCGCCTAGAAGAAGGCGCCGCCCCCCGAGGGGGAATCCCACACCCGTACCCCGAGCCCCCGTCGAAGAGCGCGTCGAAAGCGTCGTCGCCTTCGTCGTACTCCTCCGCGTCAAAGCACCGGACCGGCTCCCCCCGGCCGTGCTCCCTTGCCCAGGCAGCGCAGGCGCGCAGCCAGGCCGGGTCCAAAATGGGGGTCGAATACTCGCTGCCCCCGGAGAGGGACGACGGGTATCGACGCGGCCCCAGCAAGGTGTACGCCACAGTTCCCCAGGGGACCGTGGCGACGACCGTCGCCTCGGACTACACAGTCCGACCAACGACTGCGACACCAACGCGGTATGGGTGCACTTGGAGACTTGGAGTGCAGTGATGCACGAGCGCTTTTGATTATAAGAGGGCTCCCGCGGCGATCAACACCGCAACTCCTTTTCTAAATTTCAGCTGAGGGGCTCGCTAAACGCTCGCCGAGCTCCATGCTGTGCAACACCACCTCCTCACTAATCGTCAGGGCGAAAGGCGCAGTGCACCTGCGCAGCGGGGGCTCGCCCCCTGCACCGCGCTCAGCGGCGCAGGGGAGGGCGGTCGGTGGCGGCGGCGGCGAGGCGCGAGGCGGTGGCGGCGGTGGTGCGGGCGGCGGGATGACAGGGGAGGCGGCGGGATTGACAGGGGAGGCGGCGGCCACGAGCGGAGCGGCGCGAGAAGGGGGGGGGGGGGGGCGGCAAGGCCCCCGTAAACGAGGCGCCCCCCCCATCAAAGGGACCCCCCCCTTCCAAATGGAGGGCGGCGGTGACGGAGGCGAGGCGCGAGGCGGCGGCGGCGGCGGCGGCGGCGGAGGCGGCGGGGGGGGGCACCGAGTCTCGGTGTACGGTGAGCGGCGGCGGGAGGAGGAGCAGCGGCGGCGCTCGCTCGCTGTTGACGGGAGCGCTTTTGAGCCTGGGAGCCCATGCCACTGCGACCGGCGTGCCCGGGAACGGAGATCGCGCGCGCGCCGCCACTCACGACGCGCGCGCGATCTTCGCGGAGTCGGGTCCCCAGAGGGAAGCGGTCTTCTCGGCCGACGTCCAGCGGCGCGCAAGGAAGCAGGCGCAGCGGAGGCGGCCTAGCACCGGCTCGGCGCCGGGCGGCTTGCGCTGCCCGCGAGCCGCGTCCTGAGCCTCGGCAGCGCGCTGCGCGGCGCGGCGCTCGCGCTGCTGCGGTGCCGAGAGCGGCATGATGGTTCGCCAGCTGAAGCTCGAGACTCCAGGAATCGAGCACAATTGCGTTACATGGGCATGGCCGGGGTTTCTGCACCGAACGATCTTACTTTCGGTCTATCGAAAGTGTTGCGCGATAATTTTTTTCGATGGCCGACATGCCCGCGCGCCGCACGACACGGCCTGAGCCGTCGCCGCGTACGCACGCCTCCGCTTCATTCCGGCCCTAACCCCCACACTCCATGTTGTCACGTCCTCCTCTCCGCGCCCGGCAGTCCTCGCGCGCCTTGATGCCTTCATGCCGGCCATCGCGAGCGCCAACGCCGCGCTGAGCCAGACCACGGGTGCGGCGGGATCGTCGTTGGAAGCGGCGATAGGAACGAGTGCTGGCGCGGGTGTGAGCGCACTGGCCGGCGGGCGCAGCGACGCATCTCTGCGCTTCATGGAGGAGGAGGAGGGCGAGGGCGAGGACGAGGAGGTGTGAGCGCCTCCCGCACACACATGCGCGCAGCCAAGATTGCACGTCGTCGCGCACATGCTGACGCGCGTCGTCCCATGTTGCCGCAAGACGCACGCCACTTCACTCCGCCGCCAACGCCTCGTCTCTCCTCCTCCCTCTTTCCCCCGCCCCACAATACAGATCACTGCTGCTGCCACAGCCACACCGCCACCGCCACCGCCTCTCGACTTGGACGGCGCACGGCGCAGGAAGAGCTGATCGATCCTCAGCTGCTGAGCGACCCGGGCGCGAGATCTAGCCGAGATTGCGCCGAGATCTGGCTGCGACCTGGCGGTGAGTGAAGAGCAGCGCAGGGCGTCCTTCACACCCCGCCGAGCTGTGAGCAGGCGGGCCATACGTGGAGATGGACCTGCACTGCGGGGTGTTTGAGAAGGCGGGGCCGCCCCTTCTTTCGGCTCGCACGGCTGTGAACGGCGCCTCTCCACGATGCGCTGTGAACACAGGTGGCGGCCGGAGTAGTCCTCGCGTCGCGGCTGTGAACGGCGCCTCTTCACAGCCTCGGGCCGTGAACAGGTGGCGGTCGACGAGTCATCCTCGAGCAGCTCAGAGGAGGACGAGGAGGGAGAGGGAGACGACGGCGGCGGCGGCGGCGGCGGCGGCGGCGGCGGCGGCGGCGGCGGCGGTTTGCGTCTTCCGTCGCGGTGAGATTGCCGAGACCAATCGGGAGATTCTCCGAGATCCGCCGAGATCCGCCGAGACAGCTCGAGAAAGGCAGGGCGCGGCGGCGGTCCACAGGCGCCTCTTTACGGCACGGCGGTGTGAACAGGCGCACCGCGGCGGTGGCGGAGGCGCAGCGCGCGGGGCGGACGCTGATTGCGGAGGTTGCGGGTGGGGAGGAGGAGGCGAGCGACGGCGGGGAGGAGGAGGAGGAGTCGCGTGGCGGCGACACAAGCGGTGGCACCACCGACGCGGCGAGCGGTGGTGCGGGGAAGGGGGGCAGGAAGGGCCAACGCTAGGGCCGACGGTCGTGGCGAGACTCTGACTGAGGGGGGCCACTTGTGAAGCATGTGGAGCGGTCGCTGACGGCGTGAGATTGCACTAAGCGGGGCTTATCGTGGCGCGCCCGGGGTAGTCTTGTGTGGGACGCATACGACTGTAACCATCCATAAAGCGACCCACTGCGATGAAGTGGAGGTGCATGAGCGAGTGCATGCCATCGTCTGCACCGACAAGCAAGTGAACCAAGATCCAAGTGGGCCAAGCAAGGGCCAAGCCCAAGGCGGTTCTCTCTGCTTCTGGCCGCTCATTTCGCTTTTCGCATTTCGGGTAATCGGGTTGGTCGTGGACATGCAGTCGTGGACGGTAAGGTAAGGTAAGGAAATAAACTTCTCCACACATAGACGTACTGTATTTTAACGACCCTGGACACAGCTTCCCTCGCACCCCGCACACCTCGGTCCTCGCCCACCGCCCACACCTGCGGCAACACCGAGGCTCGTGTCGCCACTCTTCCACTTGCCCTTGTACTCGTTGAGCAGGCGATCGAGATGGCAGGGCCCTTGGCTTCGATCGGCTTGCCGTTGCGGTCGATGGGCTTAGGGTCGAGTCCGGCGAAGTCGAAGCGCTGCTGCAGGCTGCGGCACGTCGCCGAGTGGACGTCATACTCGGCTCTGCACGCCGCATGCGTGACGCCGCCAGACCCATCCTGTGCGCGGCTGCTCCACTGACGCAGCGTGCCATGCTTGGCCCACACAAGTCAGTGCCGTGGTGCGCCCTTGGCCTGTTCAGGAAACGCTCACCTGTATGAGCTGGCATCCACCTTCCAATGCGAATACCACGCCGGCCCGACCGACACCCGACGAGCTGGACACGAGACCACGGTGCGGCGCAGGGCATGCATGCAGCCGTGCCGACGACGACGCATGCTCGCCTCACAGCTTGCTCAACGCCCTCTGTGGCGGCAGGTGCTGGTGACGGACTTCTTCAAAGCCATCAAGAATCGCGACCGCTTGGGCAGCGAGGGCCCGGCCCCACGGCTTGATGCCGAGCTTCTCGAGCGCGCTCGTCACGGCCTCCACGCTCGTCATCCTGGCGGAGAGTCGTGCCCGCGTCCTGCAGCGCGCCTGAAGAAAGCATTCGGCACAGCGCGCCATTGGTGCGGCGTCGCGCGACCGCGAGGGACCGCGGGGGGGGGCTAGCGGGATGGGGGGTTCTAAGGGGAAGGGAGCGGGGGGGGGGGGCGCCCAGTAGGGCGCCGGCACCCCAGCGTGCCTCTGGAAGGCACCGAGAGGTACAAAATGGCGCAAATGACCAAAATCAAGATTGTGGTAACGCGAGCTGTGCCACTGTGAAATGGAACTAAGCCTAAACGGTCTTAAAAGAGGGACCCCCCCGGGCCTGCAATCTCTTAAATGGCAAGTTCAGCCCCCAAACCTCCTCGTTTCTTAAAAGGTCTTAAAAAATCCGGCCCTAGAACCCGGGGTCCCCTAAGGCACAGGGTCAGCGCGCGCGAGCCCACCCCCACCTCCCGGTGAGCATTTCGAGAGAATGCCGTGGGGCTCCTGTCGTTAGACGTGGAGTCTGGAGTGTGGAGACGCGAGGGTTGCCCCCCCTTGCCCCACCACCTCGTGTGTGTGGAGAAGTTTACCTTACCTTACCCTTAAACCCTAGACATGACTCGTGAGCAGTTTCTCATCAGCCTCGGTCATCCACTGCACGTTTCCTGCCACGGCCACTTCCGAGACACTTCTCCGTGGCACTTGTGGAGAGACCCTTCTGAGACACTTCCCGACACACAAGGTGTCAGGTGACTTCTGCGGCGAACCTCCGAGACTGAGACATCACCGCGCCTGCCACGGCCAGCGCGCCTCTTGCAGCAGCTTGGGCAGGTCGGCAGGCACCTTCGGCGCCAGGGGCGGCCGAGTCAGCCGAGGTTAGCCGAGATTAGGCGAGGTTAGTTGAGGTTGGATCCGCAAACACCTTGGCGCCGGGGTCGTTGCAGAGACCGAAGCGCAAGCCTGCATGGGAAGAAAAGGGGAGGAAGAAAATCGGTCGTGCCAACGGGGCGGTGCTGCGGCCAAAGCGGCGACGACTTCGAGGACGGTTTCGTGGACTGTCGGGTGCCACACGGGCCGCCACAAGTCGCTGCAGCGTCGGTGCCTCTCGGAGCTGTCTCGGGCATGCCACGGGCAAGAAGCCGCAGCGCTGTGTCTCGGGAGACTCTCGATCGGAAATGTCTCGGAGACGTCTCCTGCAGAGCGCTCGATCACAGCCTCACGCATGACACGCGCCTGTTCACACCTCGAGGTGTGAACACGCTGCCCGCTCACAGCGCGGCGGCGGAGGCCTCGCGTCGAAATGCCACGTCGGCGCGCGCAACAAGGAAAGTGCCTAAGGAAGAACTAAGCGAGAAGGTCAACGGATGTGTGGCGGCCTGGAGCGAAAGGCTGCTGGAGAGGCTCGGCGGTGCCGGGCGACGGCAAATCGTCATTGTGTGACACGCCGAGTCCGTGCATGCCCGCCTATAGTCGAGAGACAGCCGAGATACAGCCGGCAGACAGCCGAGAGACAGCCGAGAGACAGCCGAGCTTACTGCCGAGAGATGCAGCCGAGGTACTGCCGAGAGACAATCGAGAGATCGAACATTGCGGGCTAGACCCTGGCTGTAGCTCGGCTGTATCTCGGCTGTATCTCGGCTGTATCTCGGCTGTATCTCGGCTGTATCTCGGCTGTATCTCGGCTGTATCTCGGCTGTATCTCGGCTGTATCTCGGCTGTATCTCGGCTGTATCTCGGCTGTATCTCGGCTGTATCTCGGCGCGCCTCGCCGCTCGAGAGGCCGCACGGCTTGACGATGGTGGAGCCTGATAGTTATTTAATAACTAGGGGCTATCTGTCTAATGATGAACTGTTAATGAATGCCGCACGGCTTGACGATGTCTAATCTCGGGCGATCTCGGGAGATCTCGGTACAAGGCCGCGCCAACTCCGGAGCCCAGCAGGAAAGCCTGAGATCAGCCGAGATCAGCCGAGATCACATGAGATCACTCGAGATCGGCCGAGATCGCCCGGGATCAACCGAGATCAGCCGAGATCAACCGGGATCGGCCGAGATCAACCGAGATCGGCCGAGATCAGCATGCGACGGTGCAGGGGGCGCCTCTGCGTTCAGCTTCCAAAAGAGGACAGAGCCGCCCTTGAAGGGGGCTGGCTTGGGGTCGGTCGTTCCCATCGACGAGCAGAGGACGACGCGCCTGTGTCTCGGACATGTCGCGGACGTGTCGTGGACGTGTCGTGGACAGTGCCCATGCACGAGCAGAGGACGACGCGCAGCGAAGGCAGCGCGCGCGCGTTCTGCTGCGCGAGCGCCGCGACCTGGCGGGCGATAGGGGGGGGGGAGGGGTCCGGGGAGGGAGGGGGGGGGGGGGGGTTGGGGGTGTCTTGGGAAGTGTGTCGGGCGTGGAGAAGTGTCTACGGAGTGTCGTGGAAGCCTGCATGAGGCACTGCATGCGGCAGTGTGTCCGGTGATCGACGCTGAGATGGGCTGAGATGTAGCCGAGATCGGCCGAGATTGCAGGAGGTGTGCCTGGTGCTCGACGCCGTCGAACTCGACGGCTCGCATCTCCTTCTGTGAGGCGCCTCCGCCTGTTCATTCTTGATTCTAAATCACTAACATTCGCATCTCCTTCTGTGAGGCGCCTCCGCCTGTTCATTCTTGATTCTAAAACACTAACATTCGCATCTCCTTCTGTGAGGCGCCTCCGCCTGTTCATTCTTGATTATAAATCACTAACATTCGCATCTCCTTCTGTGAGGCGCCTCAACCTGTGAGTACTCGATCGTTACTTGGTAGAGATTCATCACTATCGCGTCCCTACTATCGCCTCTGGAGGCGACTCACAGAAGGAGATGCGATCGCCGGCAGTCTTCTGTAGACTCATGACGCGGCAGTGTCTCTAGTGCGTCTCGGAAGCGTCTCGGAAGCGTCTCGGAAGCGTCTCGGAAGCGTCTCGGAAGCGTCTCGGAAGCGTCTCGGAAGCGTCTCGGAAGCGTCTCGGAAGCGTCACGGAAGCGTCTCGGAAGCGTCTCAGAAGCGCTCGCCGACGGCGGCAGCGATCGCGACGGTGTCGACGCCCGTCGACGCGGCGGTGAGGGTCTCCGGCTTGGTCACGTCGCCCACGAACACCCCTTCGCCCTCGTCGCACGCCTTGCAGCCGAGCAGCTCTCGCGCCTTTGTGACGTTCCGGACAAGCGCCCGCACCTCGGCGATGCGGCTGTCGGCCTGGCGGCGGCGGGAGAGTGCGGTCAAGCCCTGGGGACTGGACCGGCGCTTGCAGAAGGAGTGGGTTCACTCTCTCTCGCTCTCGGAAGTGCTCTCGCCGTGCGTCTCGCCTTGAGCTGGAGGTAGAGCGCGCTACCAGTTCGACCAGTTGCGCCCGTGACGAGAACGCGCGGCGAAGACGCGGCGTCGTTGGCGAGTTCGGAGGTCCACGCGGCGGCGGCGAGGCACAGGTGAAGCATGTATGTGCGTTCCGGGTTCTCTCGAGGTTCTCGAGGTGGATATCCTTTGGCCGCGTTGGGTAGCGAGGATTGGTGTGACGCGATCCACGCAGGCGTGGTTCCGGCGGCCGACCGTGTTCCGGGTTCAACAGACTAGCTAATAAAAACCGCATGGTCGTTTGCGCTTTTCTAGAAGGAAGCAAAAGTCGGGCCACCACGGCCGCGCACCACGTAAGATACCAAGAAAACCGAGATCGCGAAACGTGCCCGCCTGGCCACCCTCTCGTGGATCGTGCCTCATGCCCTCCTCACCCTCAGGCTCTCCGGAGGCTCCATATGTCGAGATAAAGAAAGAGGACCTTTATCTCCCGGCCGGCAAGGCGCCTGTCTATCCTGCGGCGCCTGATGACATTCGCGAGTATGTTCGAAATGAGATGAACAAGTGGACGCCCAAAGGCGAGGCGTCGCCGAACCTTCCCATCCCGCGCTTTTCCACTCGCGCGCGGATGTTTGGGGCCATTACGCTCCGGCCTGCCGATCGCGCTGACGACCACTCCGCCTCATACGAGGCCAACAACTTTGTTGTCTGCGATGCATTCACCGTACGCGGCGGGCCCCCGGTGAAGCTGCGGGCAATTTGCTTCATCTTTGCCTACGTTTGGGATGCCGAGGAGAACGACCTGGACCTCTTCAAGGATGCGGGTTGCGAGAGCCTGCGGGTCGGCTGGAACCTCGTGGTCACGGCGGGAGGCGCTCACGTTGCCATGCTCCCAATGCCAGACCCGAGCGACATTCAGGTGGTCGGCGCGTGCTCAGAGAAGACGCCAAAGGCGTGGGAGCTGAACAAGGAGGGATGCGCCATTATCGCAGACCTCTTCGGTACGAATGGCAGCAGCTTCGCCGGCCTCAAGCCGCTGAGATCGGTGAGCTCGTTGTTGTGAGCACACTTGGGGTTGTGTCTGAAGGCGGTAGACTTGCTCATAGGTGGTCGCCGCGGGCAAGAGGCTTGCGGCCGCGGAGGCGGAGGCGGAGGCGGCGCAGGCGGCGGCGCAGGCGGCGGCGCAGGCGGCGGCGCAGGCGGCGGCGCAGGCGGCGGCGCAGGCGGCGCAGGCGGCGCAGTCGAATTCGATCCTCCCTCCTGCCCCTTCTCTCTCCATCCTCTCCACCCCCGATGCGCCAGCGCGGAGCGGCAATCTGAAGGAGCAGCTAGATGAAGCAGCGACGGGCAGCTCCGCGGCTGCGACTCACTTGGGCCGGTGCGAGAAGAACCCGGCTGTGGGACGGACGGCCGTCGCGATGCAGACAGGCGGGGTCGACACTGACCATGCTTCAAAATCGTCTCGAACACGGCTACACCACGGCCCACCCCAAGCGCAACCCTGGCGAGCTGCTTCCTGCAGCGGAGGACTGCACACGCGGGGCGAGGTCAGCTTCTGTGGTTGGTTGGTACGACAAGTATGCTTCCACCTGCGGGGATTACATGCCCGACACAGGCAAGCTGATTGTGCCTCGTCGCACTCGCAAAGAGGAGTGGGACGAATACAAGGCAGACCTCGGGGACGACGCCGTCTCCTACGAGACGTTTTGCA